ATGCGAATGTTGGCACGCTTGAAGTTGTCCCAGAGGCTCCTTACACTATCCTCATTTTTTTGGATTCCTTTTTCTTTTTGCTGTTCTGATTAGGGATTTTTTGCTTCCTTATATTCCAAATTGATGGTTTGCTCCTTGGATTTACATACTCTATTATTGAAGCTGTGTAAATTATTCTTTATTTCAGTTAATGCCTCCTTTAATTCTAACTGTGTATCCATGATTTCTAACTGGTCCTTTTTTATGCTCTTGAGGCCCTCCCTAAGTTCACTGAGGTTCTCACTAAGTTCATTGAGCATCCTTATAAGCAGTATTTTGAACTCAGTATCTGTGAGGCTGCTTATCTCCCTTTTGCTTAGTTCTTTTTTTGGTATTTTGTTCTGTTCTTTCATTTGGAACCTGTTTCTTTGTCTCCTCATTTTGGCTGCCTCCCTGTGTTTGTTTCAGTGTATTACTTAATGAGAGGTATGGGGCTAGCTGAGACCAGATGCCGCTTGTTTGAAAGAATTTAGGAAAAACCTGAAGCAGGATCCAAGACCGGCCAATCCTATGGTTAAGCAAGTGGCAACAGCTTGGGTGGGCCTGAAAGTTGTGTGGGCGGGGCCTCAGGGAGTCAGCAGGGCGGGGCTACCAGTGTGAGCCAGGTTGCTGGAGTCCCAGATATGGCTTCTGTCTGCCGCCCCTGGGAAGGGCTCACCAAAGGAACAAAGGCCTCTTACAGCACATTTGTCCCCGAGGAAGCCCCCTCTCCAGCCCTCGCTCCAGTGCCAAACAGCTCAGTTCTTCCCTGTGTGTCTCTGGTGCCCCTCGAGCTGCCTCCCCTCCGAGCTTAGAGGGAGAGAGTCCGATAAGTCCGTGCGCGGGCCCTTTAAGGAGCTGCCTGGGGCTCCAGCCGCCTCAGCCTCCCTGAGCCTCAATTCCCGCTGGTTTTTCCAGCCAGAAGTTATGGGGACTTCTCTTCCGGGCACTGGAACCCTGAACGGGGCACCTGGTGTGGGACGGGGACCCCTCAGTCCTCAGGAAGGACCTTCCCAGCCGCGGGAGCCTCCTGATTTTTATCCGCCACACGTGGGTGTGGGACCAGCCCGTCTCGCTGACGCGCTCCGCCCCTCCTGCCTCCGCCCGTCCCACTGGTCTGGATGTGGCTGCTGCTTTAATTCCGTAGTTGTAGGACTTCCATTCAGCTTGATTTCAGGTGGTTTTGAATGATGGTTGTTCTGTAGTTTAGTTGTAACTTTGATGTGGTTGTGGGAGGACGCGATACCGCGTTTACTTACCCGCCATCCTGACCGGAAGTCCTTCGGAGGGCTTCTTTTTTAATTGACATGTCAAAAGGGAGGATTCAATATCAGGTTGTTTTCTATTTGTCTGTACTTAGTACTGTGTCTTAGATAAACTACTGAGTCAATTGGACTGGGATCAAATAATTAGTTAACAAGCAATTCTGTCCTTATTAGTTATATCAACCCTGAAGAATTTACCCAGCTCACTGTATCTTCATTTGTAAAATGGGGTTACTGGTACTTACAATTGCCATGAGGGTTGTAGAAATTTATAATGGATTTAAAATCCTATAGATATAAATTATGTTAGGCTTTACATTCATTTTTTAAAACCTATTCTTCGTATATTTTTTACTAAGTCTTAGGTTTTTTGGCTCTGGTTTTTTAGTTCTAGGAAAAAGAACATTATCTGTAACCTAGAAGTTGCTATAGTCGATTTCTTAATTATAATTAAGACAACAAATGTTTGGAGTCAAACAACCAAACTGACTTAAATATATTTTACATAAGGTAGAATGGCACAAATATTAAAGTAAATTTCTGTCCTGTAACTGGTACCCATGTGTGTGCCCCTTTAAAGCTGCCTATGAAAACTCCCATTCTAACCTTCTGGGATTCAAATATTTCACATGTCTGCTTTTAAATTATAAAGACTTCAGCACATTAGTCTTCATGGGTAACTGTATTAAAATGCATACTTCACTACCATTTTTATCATTAAAGTGTATTAGCTTTGTTTTTTGTTGTTGTTGTTGTTGTTGTTTGTTTGTTTGTTTGTTTTGGTCTCTTTTCTCTTTGTCCATAAAAGATTAAAAAAAAAAAATCAAAGACTCTGTTGGAAACAATGTATGAAAGACTTATAATTGTCAATTGCTGAAAATGTTTTATTATTTATTATTTATAATACCAAAGATTAAAATTATAATGTAGAATGATCTTGACATAAAAAGTCCTGAATCGCCTGGTTGGTGTGGCTCGGTGGATTGAATACCATCCCATGGACTGGGAGGTCCTGGTTTGCTTCCCGTCAGGGCACATGCCTGGGTTCCAGGCTCCATCCCCAGTAGGGGGCGTGCAGGAGGCAGCCGATCTGTTTCTCTCTCACATCGATATTTCTCTCTCTCTCTTCCTTCCTCTCTCTCTAAAAAATCAATGAAAATGTATTTTTAAAAAAGCATATATTTTTTTAAAAAGTCCTGCATCTCCAGCCAATGGACTGAAATTCAAGTGTTCAGTAGGCATAGACAAAGGGTACAGTATTAAAAACATTAACTTCTGAGATAAAAGACAAAAATTACATAAGAAAAGCAGGGTAGAAATGGCTAATAACTTATAACCAACAATACCTATGGTTCAAACCATATTTTTAATTGAATTTATTAGGGCAATATTGGTTAATAAGATTATATAGGTTTCAGATGTACAATTCTATAATAAATCATCTGTATATTGTATTGTGTTCACCAACCCAAGTCAAATCTCCTTCCATCACCATTTATCTCCCTTGTATCCTCTTCTACCTCCTCCATGCCCCCTTACCTTCCAGTAATCACCATAGTGTTGTCTGTGTCTATGATTATTTTTTGTGTTGCTTAATCCCTTCAAATTTTTCAGCAAACCTCCTACCCACTCCTCCCAGACAGCTGTCAGTCTGTTCGAATCATATTTACATAAATAAGATGTCACAAAATTCTTAAAAACAGGTAAACTTAAATTACTCGGTTCATTCCTATCATCTTTCTCCTTGGATGTATCTTCAAGTGGCTTGAAATTTTTCTAAGACACTGTTAAAATATCTTCTTTCATACTGCCCAAGTACTTCATGTTCCCAGTTGCAGAAACTCAAAAAATTTTCTTTACAGTTGTTACTGTTTCTACATTCAAATGTCTTTCAAGAATGCCTTTGTTAGAAGTATCTGTGTGGCTGAGTGTGTGTGTGTGTGTGACAAGCACATGGACCTAAACAGGCATCTGCCTTCAGATTTCTTTTATAACACTATCACCTATGGAATACATAGGAGAGATGAACAGGATGGAGTTAGAAATGGGAATAGAATTTAAGAAAGATGTTACCACTGACAATCACTGTGTGGAGGAATGAGAAATGCCGTGAGGATAGGTCAGAACACAAGAAATACAAAGTACGCAGGAGAGGCGGGGATACTTGCAGAGTAATCTGTACACATTTCACAGAAATTATGGGAATAAAGTATTTCACAGGGGCAAATGTCACAGAGTGTCAAAGAGAGCAAAAAGAATACATAGACCAATGTGCCAGTACCTGGAGCCTGGGACACATTATGAAATCAGTAAATGCTATCTGAATGAAAGAACAAAGAATCGCTGAGAGAAAGCTGGAGCCGACGGTGTGGCTTTTATAACACAAGGAAGTATGATGGCGAAGTTGAAAGAGAACGTTTTTAGGGGGTTGGGAGGAAGCCTGGTGAAGCCAAATAGGTGAAACACAAAGCCTTGTGTCCTTTCTCCAAAACCACAGGGAACTTTAAGGTGAGACAGAAAGATGATTATCAAAGAAATTGGACTCTGACATTAGACACTTTAGAAACTAATGCTCTACTTCCTCAAGTGCATTTCCCTAAATCAATGCCAACTCAAACTATGTGTGAGTGTTTGGTAAAATTAAATGTATGTGTGTGAAAACCACTGAGGAGATATGAGTTAAAATGTGATGCAAGTGATTTTACAATATTCTTTCTTTTCACTGTGACTTGGTGCTACTTGTTTTTCTGTTGCTGCTGTTGTTGCTGTTTTTTTAATCCTCACCCAAGGATATGTTCACTGATTTTACAGCAAAAGAGAAAGACATAGAGAGAGAGAGAATCATCAGTGTGAGAGAGAAAAACATCAGTTGGCTGCCTCCTATACATACCCTGAGTGGGAATTGAACTCACAACCTTTTGGTGTTGGGGCAACACTCCAACCAACTGAGCCACCTGGCCAAGACTTTTGTTCCTATTTGTCAATGAACTGAAGTACAGCTAACAGCTCTAAGTGTAAATCAGAGGAAAACTGTCCTTTAGAATCTGTGAGGAGCTCCTTGCTTGTATCTTTCTCATACAGTGGATTTAGGGTCAGCTGTTGACTTCCAGTCAAGAGTATAACTTTTTGAAGTGAAATATCATTGCCAAAGGGTCACAATCTACACAGCAACACCATTGTATAATGTCTAATGTTCTCAAATAAACCTTGTAAATTTGAAATGTTCCACATTTGATGAAAAGATAAAAGAACACACAATTTAGATAGTTGTGTGATTTGGACTATACATAAATATGTACATTCACTACCACTTTATTATTTTTTCTTTATTGATTTTATTTTATTTATTTATTTATTTATTTTTTATCCTCACCCGAGGACATTTTTCTATTTTCTTTGTTCAGATAGAGTGGGAGGGAGAGAGGGGAACAGAGAGAGAGAGAAACATCGATGTGAAAGGAACACATCGAGTGGCCGCCACCCGCACGACCGACCAGGGCCGGGGACAAACTGCAACCGAGGTACGTGCCCTTAGCGGGAACCGAACCCGGGTCTCTCAGGACCGCAGGCTGACGCTCTAACCGCTGAGCCAAACCGGCCAGGGCTTCTTTATTGATTTTAGAGAGAGAGGAAGGTAGAGGGAGAGAGAGTTGGAACATCAATGAGAGAGAACATTAATTGCTGCCTCCTACATGCCTCCCACTGGGGATTTGACCCACAACCTGGGCAAGTACCCTGGCCAGGAATCAAACCAGTGACCTCTTGGTGCATGGGTCGATGCTCAAGCACTGAGCCACACTGGCTGGGCTCACTACCACTTTAAAATGACATGTTTGATGCCCCAATGTTGAACACAGGTAATATAAAAGCCCCTTTCACAATTAAACACAAATGTGGCTTACCCTCCATTTCCTTTCTCTTAATAGTCACCACTTCTTTATAAAAGTAGTCTTCATTTCCTACTGTATGTTAATATAATATTCAAATTAAATCTATAAAGAGTACATATGCAACAATTTATAAAAACAAAACATAAATGCCTCAATTTCTGATATTTCAATGTGAAAGTTTTAGACAAAATAATTTAGGTGATATTAAATCTAAAACACTCTGAAAATTTATTTCCTTCATTTTAAGAATATTTGCATTAAATGATCAGTAACCAAAACACTGCATTTTTGAGTAGCATGATATATATGTATATATTTAAAAAGCAGACTACCCAATGTTGGAATGTATATATTTAAAAAGCAGACTACCCAAACACTCATGACCTTTGTGTTGTGGATTTGGGGTCTATTAAATTCTACTACAGCCTTCAGGTGAGGTAGTTTGGAACTATGAATGCCCTGAGCCAGACCTCCTCTGATATGAACCTGGACTAGCTCTCATCTGTTCTAGAACATCTCAGAACAACTTTTATTGTGAAGATAAACTTCAACATCATCATCTGATTAGAAAGCAAATTTCCCCCTAATCATTAGCACAAAAAAGTAGGTGAACTCAATTGTCTTTAATGTCAAATGGAATTCAGTTGTAAGACTCTCTGTCTTTATCATTATTTGTTCTGTTCAAAGGCCACAACTGTGTTTACAATGATCCTGAAGTTCTTGACTCTGCCTCCCATGCACACCCGTACACACACGGTCACACAGCAAACAGGGCTGGAGCTAAGATTTGATTCTCATTTATCTGACCTAAGCAACCAGAAGATAAAACTACCACAATACTTAAAAATAATTTAAGATAAAAAAAATACCTGTTTAGAAATTATTGGTCTATACCACTGAGATGACCCTTCAAAGTTTCTTAGTAAACTTGGAAAACTGAGAAACACGTTTAGCAAAATAGATGCTACAAAAATAAATGTGATAAAAAAAAGATGTCCTATACCATCATATTTGCAAAGCTATAATCATTAAAAAAGTGAATATTAACAGGTTAGTTGTTTCCAAATTGCTGATCCCTCCTGAGATGAAACGTGAGTCCTTAGTGTACCATCTTCCAAAGAGGGACACTGATAGAAGAGGTTCAGATGATCCATTCTTATTTACCAAACGCCCATCTTTTAGCACCTAAAGAAACAGTAGAAAGGTATGGTCAGTTTGATTAAAATATGCATTACAAGCAGAGTAATATATTTGAAATAGTTCTAGATATCATGGTTGATCAAGTAGTTCTAGCTTGATGGGGTGGAGGGAGTGGGGAACAGACAGGACAAGAAGGGGACAGCTATTCTACATGTAATGAAAACTAGAGTCATTCTTGAAAGCTCAATATTTGATTTCCAACAATCATATTGAGGCAGTACAGGGACTTGGGCCTGAGAACAGAAAAAGACTGGATGGCTAGGAAGTCAAGGTGGTCAAGAAGCTAACGAGAAGAATGTCACCAGCCTTCTACTCCCTACTCAAAAATGCAAAGGCAGCTGAGTTTATCACCTTTCTAACTACTTACTTCCTTGTAGATGTTGAAACTACTGACTCACATGTAAAGTTGGTCAAGGTTTGGCCTCTATAGGACCTTTCTGGGGTAGCAGTAATGAGTTACACTGCCTTCTTGCCCTCATAGCACAGATGTGAACATAGATATCAGGCAACACAGCTGGAAAAGGAAGTCACCCACCCTGAAATGGAAAAGTCTGCCAGCCCACTTTTTTCAAAAAGCCCATCCTTTTCATACAAGCTTAATTTATCCCCAGCTTATAAAAGCAGCCAAGCAGAGTCAGTCCCTGTATAAGTACAAAGGACCTTCTTTCCTCCACTTTGCCTCCCTTGTGCTCAAGCCTAAGATTAATACAATTTTTCTGGAAATTTTTCTGGGGTCTCCTCTTGATTTCTATCTTGAGAAACCCAAGAACCTCAGTGCTGGTAACAAAATGTAACCCTTAACAAAAAGTAAAAAATCATCAGTCATCAGAGTCCAATTATGTGCAAGATAATCAGGACTAGAGGAGTAAAATCACACCTTTCCTTCAAGAAGCTTAAAAGTTAACGATGAAACTGAGAAATCAGTCTATTATGTATTAGAGAGGGAAATACATAAGTGCTTAGGTGGTCTCAGAAGAAAAAGTTGGATTGGTCTGCTTTCCAAGGTAGGACACAACCTGTCACAAGAAGTAGCAGTTAACAGAATTTCTCCCTGGGGGCTGATAATAGAAGACATTGTGGGAAGTGGACATCATCGAAGTCGCAAAGTCTCATTCTGAGACAGAAATGTGGGTGATAGGTCTAGGCAATCTGCTTCCTCACTCCAGCTGGTTAGAACCAGTGATGTGCTGCAACTAGTGGATCATAAGCTTACCAGAACAGATGGTTAAAATCCCAGGAACTTTGACAACTGGTTGTTAAACATAGTCATTCTTGAAATTGATCACAGTGGGAACATTATCACCATGAAAATTGGCAAATATCACAAATCAGGTTTTTAAATTTTCTTCTTCAGAGAGTGGGTTATTAACATTTACATCACACCACTGGCTAGAGCTGAAGATTGGTGAAGGGGAGAATAAGCCATATGGTCAAAGAGAAGGTAAGGCTCAGAATGTAAACACCAAAAATGACCAGATGTATCCTGAAGTCACAGAAGCCTCTCTGCATAGAAGTGTGTGTTCAACAAATGGGACAACAATCAAAAGAAAATGGATCCATCAGTTGCAGGAAGGTCAATTTGGATGGGGAAGAACTTTTAAACTGAGATACTTCATAACCAGAAGGAGAAAATGGTCAAATATCCTATAAGATAATTTCCATGCTGCTCACATACACACAGAGACATATATCACTAACAAGCTGTCAAACACACAACCAGTTTGGTAATTAAATAAATAATAAAATACTAAATGTTCGCTGTTTATTGTTTATTAGTGTTCATTGTTTACCTGTTTCTTATTTTTTAAATTGTTCAGTAAAGGAACAAAAATAAAATACCAGAGTTATATTTCAATTTTACTTCATTGAAAGTTTAACACAAAACCCAGTAGAGGTAGCCACAACCAGTGGAACACCAGCACCCACAGGAAAAATTTGGCAGGCTCCAAAACCCACTGAGACAGCCAAAATGGTGAAACAAAGAAACAAATCCCAAATGAAAGAACAAGATAAAGAAGATAAAATAAATGAAAGGGAATTGAGCAAGATATCAGAGGAAGAGTTCAGAGTAATAATCATGAGGAAGCTCAACAGCATGAGTAAAGATATAGAAGCTACCTCCTCTGTTTGTTTAAAAAATTTTATTAATCCCAAATGTTTTCAGGTAGTTGGGAACAACAGTGAGAGAATGATACAAAACTCAACAGTATAGTATTTGTAGGTCTCAACTCAATATTTCTCAGAACTTGTCATACTGTCTCCTATGTCTGGGCACTGGCCCCTCATTCTTGCATGGAAGGAAGGAAGGAAGGAAGGAAGGAAGGAAGGAAGGAAGGAAGGAAGGAAGGAAGGAAGGGAGGGAGGGAGGGAGGGAGGGAGGGAGGGAGGGAGGGAGGGAGGGAGGGAGGGAGGGAAGGAGGAAGGAAGGGAGGAAGGAAGGCACAGCAGAAATGAAGAACACATTGGAAGGAATAACCAGCAGAGTAGAAGAGGTCGAGCATTGGAAGATTAGAAAAAATCACCCTTCCTTCCTTTTTTAAACAAACAGAGGAGGTAGCTATGTCTTATTTCTTCATGTTCTCCATCTCCTCATCAACTACCACCATCCAACTTCTTTAAATACTGATGTGGTTCAGAGTGAGAAGAAAATGGCATTTCTGGATCTGGATTTTTTAAAATTTATTTTTAGAGAAAGAGACAGAGAGACACATGGATGTGAAAGAGAAACAGATTAGTTGCCTTCCAAACGTGCCCTGACTGAGAATCAAACCTGCCACCTTTTTTTTCTTTTGTATTATTTATTTTTCAATTTTTATTAATTTGTTTTTGTTACAGATGTTTCTCCTTTTTCCTCCCTAGACACCGTCCTCCCCATCCCACCCCTTACCCCCCAGCATTGTTGTCTATGTCCATTGGTTACGAATACATGCATATAAGTTCTTTGGTTTATCTCATCCATCCAAACCCACCACCTTTTAGTGTATACTTCAACCAACTGAGCCATATTGGCCAGGGCGCTGGCTCTGGACTTTTAACCTCGTCTTGAAAACTCGAAGGTTTTTTGTCTTTCTCCCATAAATGAGATGCTTTTGTGCTCAGTCTCACTCTGGGATAATTTCTCAAGAAGATACATTTCTGTGAGTACACGACATGGGGGTAGGGAGATGTCATAGTACTATCCAGAAGATTAGAGTGTGTGCTCTGTTTAAATGGCAGGGATTTTGAGATACAGGACACCAATACTACCTGACCCCTGATCTGTATGACCTCTGCTCTCCTTTCTCTCACTTACTTGAAGTAGCCCCACCTATTTTCAATTCATCTATGTTCATTTGTGCCACACTAGCCCCCTTTGAACTATTAGATCCTAATTCCAGAGCCCTCACTTCAGATCTGATGATGATTTTTCTGTACTTGGCATTTAAGCTTTTATTCCAGCCTTATTTTGCTCATGCGACTTCACCTAACCCGGTTGTATGGCAGCGAGAGATTCCTGTTCTCTGGGTTTCTCAGCCTTAAGACTGCACTACATGTTAAACTGTTTGTTTCACAGAATTAAATGTTTTTATAAATAAATTATATCCCAATATAATAATACAGACTGGCAGAGATACATAACCATCAGCAATCTGCAATTTAAAAGTCTTTCTTGGTTAATGCCTTAGATGAATTAACATAGATCTTATTTTTCTCTTATAGAAAATTCAGTGACTACCCTAGTTCCTGAAACCCTTCCCCTGTATGCCACAATTCAGAGAAGACATTAGGGTTCAAACTGGTTGAGTATGTGTGAGTGTATATACCATATACTAACAGATATAAACCTACAGTCTTAATTCTAATTTGAGACCAGCTTAATTTGTAAATTAATTGGTTATAGCCACCATAATGTGTAAAATAAATATGTGATTTTCTGTTTGTTCCCACATGTGACAGAGGAAATTAAAAACTGATAAACAAAGATTTCTCAATGAATGGTGCCTCGAACTCATAGGTTCTAGTTATCGCATTATTCCAACAAAATGTCATAACTTTAGAATTACTTGCTGTAAATGTAAAAAAAAATGGCCAAAACAATTCCTTCTCCTTTGTCCACATCCTTTGGCAATGTGATTTTACAGCTCTTTCCACTAAGAGATCTGCATCATTTATTTCTCTAACCCTTGAAACTACATCGGTCATGTGACTTGCTTTGGTTGATGAGACATTCACAAACAAGGTGCAAGCAGAGACTTGAGAAAAACTTGCCTCTTGTGGCTTTCCCTCTTGATGTTCTTGGACTCTGTCAAGCCCAAGCTTGCTGGAAGAAGAGAGACCACAGGGAGAGAGTGGCTGAAATCATCCCAGCTGCCTAAGACAAGGCCATCACAAAACAGCCCAAGACACCAACTGGTGACAGATGCATTAATGAGCCCAGCAAGATCAGCCGAGCCTGTTCCAAACCAGAACAGCCTAGCTACACTCAGTCCACTTTGTCAAACACAAAGTAAGAGCTAAGACATGGTTATAGTCTACAGTCATTAAGATATGAGGAAGTTGACTACACAGTAAAAGTTAAGTGATATGGTTACCATAACCTATTTTACTTGGCTTCAGATAACAGATAAAATAAAAATACTCTTAAAATCTCCCTACCTCAAATTTTCCAGGTGACAGACGAACTTTAGTAAGTAGCACTTCAGGAAAAACATACTCTGTTCCAAATGTGCCACTTAGGGAGAACATGTTAAATCTTGTCAAAGCCGTTTCCACTGGTTTTCCACACGTTGCCAAACTGGTCGTTTTGCATTTCAGCATTGTGCATACCTATATAGAACAGATATAATGCAATGCCTTACATCTAAGTTACTTGTACAGTTTATAACTACAGCAAAGCAAATATTTTCTCCATTTGTTAAAGGAATTTGGATCATGTTTCTTATCATTACCAGCTTTATTGGAAATGGCAAATGATTTGAGAAACAGCCCTGCATCCTGGGTAACAAACATATTGAAAGAAAGAATTCAGATTAAAATTAGACTGAAACTATTAGTTTGGTATGTCCGATGATTAGTTGGCCCAAGAGAGTGAGGTCTTTCAACAACAGCAGTACTAAAGCTAAAACGATGATGAAAATTTGACTACCCTTTTTTTCTATACCTATTTTTAAGAGAGGGCAGTGGGTAAGTATAATAAGATACAAATGCATAGCTAACCCTATATGAAAGTTTGAATTTTCAATATTTGACATTGGAAGGCAATAAAATGGACAGGACATCTGATTACAAGAGAAACTAAGATAAAAGTGGTGTCCCTACTTGGAGTTAGTTTTAAAAGCTAAAACAAGATTGTTTACATTTAGATATGTCAGCAAAACTACATAAGAAAGCTTTTTTGAGGTTCACTATCATATGGAACTAGTACATTTGTCAAATAGAAAATCATCACGGTCAGGTTAATAAAAAAAAAATGCTCAAAGAAAGCAATCAGATTTTACTTAACTCTTATTGCAAATATATGATAACACCCAATGTGTGTGTGTGTGTGTGTGAGAGAGAGAGAGAGAGAGAGAGAGAGAGAGAGAGAGAGAGAGAGAGAGAGAATGCGGGGAGGCACGCAGAGAAAGAGCCCTTGGCTGCCCGGCACAGACAAGCGAAGTGAGCCTGTGCATCACTGAGGCCCTTCACTCGAGCGGCTGAGATCACCTGCCAGAACTCTCTTTTCCTTCGGCCGTGCAGTCCTGTGAAAGCCCCTAGGACATACACTTCACTCTCTTCTTTTCTTAACATTCTGTAGCTTAAATGACAGCAGAGGTCTTCTTGACAGACTGTAAGGTTTCCTGCATTTTCAGAAAGCTCTGTGAAGTGGAACTCGTCTCGGGAAATGAATCCCCTGAAAGGGGGTTTCTGCCCTGGGAAGGGCTGCACGGCCGAGGCGTGGGCGCTCCAGTTGGCCGCGGCGGGGTAGGTGGGTGAGCCCCGGGGATGCAGATCCACTTCTGAGAGAAGGAGCCTTCCCTGGTCCGTCTCCATGTCGTAATGGTACACTTTGGGGGTGTGTGGCGCATAGATACCGCTGCCTGCGAATGCAAAACAAGCCTTCTTAACACAGAATCAACACTGCCGGTTTTCCCACCCGCGCTGAGCACAGGGTCACCTCTCATTAGTCACGATGAGTCAGCACACAGGCTCCTAGTTACACCGAACACTAAGCACGTCTGTTCTCTGCTGAAGAATGGAATCGATGTTCCGTGGCTCGTGTCAAATAAACTTTGACTATAATAGGAATACTTATGAGCATTATGGAAAGTTAAATTAAGTATAAAAATCTTTGTATTTGAGAGTTCATGAAAGGTAGGGAAAGGTAATACGAAATCCTCTCCTGTTCATCACTATGGTGGTGTTTCAATGCTGCTCCCACATTTTTCAACACTCTTCTCTCCAGTGAGTAGATCTAATTCCTTTCCCTTTGAGTGCGGGCTGGACTTTGCAATTCACTTCTAATGAACAGAGCACAGTAGCTGTGACAGTGTGTGACCAGTCATAAACGGCACCTAGAGGAGGTCAGCTGCCATTTCATAAGGATACATCACATAGCCATATGGAGAAGCCCACATGGCAAGAAATGAGGTCTCCTGCCAGTACCCCCCGAGGAGCTAAGGAATCCTGCCAGCTTAGCCATGTGAGGCAGCTCCTGGGGAAGCAGGCCTACCAGCCCCAGTAGAGACTTCCGATGACCGCCAGCCCAGCTAACATCGTGATGTAACCTGAAGGGACAGTCTGAGCCAGGATCCCCCAGCCAAGCTAGTCCCAAAGAATGACCAGTAGAAAAAGTGAGATAATAAAGGTTAGCTGTTTTAAGCCACTTTTACTCTGAAGGTCGTTTGTTACCAACAACGTGTCAACAGTACACTCTCTGTCCTTTGCTAATGTCTGAGCAACGCTTGTCTAGTTCATGCTTTGCCACTTTCTAGCTGGCAGCCTGTGGTAAGTTGCTTGTGTTCTCTGTGTCTCAGTTTTCTAATCTGGAAAACGGGGATGGTAATACTATCTCACAGAGTTGTTGTAAGGATAAACGACACGATGCACATAAAGATCTTAACACAACCATAGCTGCTCAAATCAGTCACTAGGCTTTGTGTGTGTGCGAGTGAAATGTTGACAAATACAGTGGTCAGTCCCATTAAAGAAGCAAAAACGTATAACAGCTCACATCTGAGGCATTAGCCTCTCTGCATTTAGAAGTACTATCTGTAAACCTCATCTGTTCATAACTTACCTGTCATATTTAGGCGGACATGATGTATATTGGCCACAAGAAGATTAACTCTCATGCCCATTGCCCAAGCTGAGTGGAATTCAACAGCTGTCAGTAGGGGCAACACATTCATCCAAGCTGTGGGAAACAGGACGGTGTCCACCTGGAAGTCCTTCACCAGGGTCACAGCAGGATCATGGAAGAGTATATCGAAGCATGTGAAAATGCCAAACCTTCCGAAGGTGGTGTTGAAAGTCACAAGCTCTGGCTTTTCAGGGACATCAAACTGGGGCTCAGAGTAGAGGTGGTACTATAATAAATGCACAAGATGAAACCAGGAAAGGCTTCTTTACTGAAGAGATGACTTGTGGGAAAAAAAAAAAAAAACCTCCAAAGTTAGTAACAGACTTGGCTATGGTCACCAACAGAGACTCTATAGGAAGTAGATGAATCTGGTGATTGGAAGTAAAAGTCCAAGGAAAAGGAATACGTGGAATACAATCTCTCTCTCTTGCTCTCTCTGTCTCTACCCTACCCAAATTAAAAGAAAAATAACTTCCGTAAATTCCAGACTATGACTTTCTTGAAAGCTGAAGATTTTTGTTGTTAGACATCAGGGATTCAAAGAAAAAGAATGCTGTTATTCTGCTGAACCCCTGATACCTAGAACTCAACAGACGCCCAGTAAATATCTGTAAAGTGGGTGGGGGATGCCACCTTCCTCTTTACAGTGTCTGATCCAAAATAATTCCAGAGACTCTCACTCAGCTTTTAAATTGCTGTTCAAAATCAACATTTTATTTAGTTCTCCCTGATCCCTTCCAAGTAACTTAAAAAACTAACCTAGTATAATAAAATAATTAGAGCCAACAGTTTAATGAAATTGTCTGGAAAGTACAGAATAATGAGGGTTGGGAATGAGACTATAAAATTTCTGTATTTGGCTGTGTTCTGTGGATTGATCAACTATGCTACCGCTTTTTTTCTTTTATCCTCACACGAGGACATTTTGCATTAATCTTCAGGTAGAGTTGAAGGGAGAGAGGGAGGAAGAGAGAGAGAGAGAAACATTAACGCGAGAGAGACACATTGACTGCTCACCACCCACATGACCCCAACCAGGGCCGGGACAAACTGCAACCGAGGTACGTGCCCTTAGCAGGAACCGAACCCGGGACTCTTCGGTCCATGGGCCAACACTCTAACCACTGAGCAAAACCGGCCAGGGCTACCTACCACTTTAACCAAATAAACACAGAATAGCAGAATGCCTTAAAATGATTCTTGCAAAGAAAGAATGATACTAATAATGCAAAGTATAGAAAACAAAGAAAAAAACCCAAAAGAGCTGACATTTGTATTTCTAGTATGAGATACATTTTTGAGGAGAACATGAAAGTTAAATTATAAATGAAAACAAGTTGTCAAAACCTACAAAGTCATGAAGGAAATTGGAAGAAAACTGAAAGTCATGTGTTGTATTTATAAATACAAAAACAAACAGACATAGATTGAGGACTCAAGTTAAAATTATTTCTGTAGCAGTATATGATCAAAAGCACTGGAAAACAATTAGGTTCATATCACTCCTTTTGACTAATATTTATGTTTCAAATGGGACTTCTAGCAGGTTATTTCTCCATTCAAAAGATTCTGAGGCTGCAATTTAAGATGCTTAGAAAAAACCTGGGGGAGGAAGAGCGACACACACTGACACATATGTCACATCCATGTAAAAGGCTGGCTCTCAGGCCCTGGCTGGTTCGCTCAGTGGTTAGAGCATCAGCCCTGGGACCAAAGGGTCACTGGTTCAATTTCTGGTCAAGGGTATGTCCCTGGGGTCCAGGTTTGATCCCCAGTCAGGGTCATGTGGGATACAACCATTTGATGTTTCTTTCTCTCTCTCCCTCCCTCCTTTTCACTCTATCAAAAAATTAATGGGAAAAATATCCTTGTGTGAGGATTAACAACGACAACAAAATATTTTTTTAAAATAAATAAAATACCGAATCTCTTCCTGTCCAATTTGGTATAAAATTCTGGCTGAAGGTTACTTTGTTCTTTTAATTCAGAGTTTAAAGTAAAAATTTTCTGATCTGACCTTAAATCCATTAGAGGATAATTAAATTAAATGGTGTGAAAAATAAAGAGAAAGATCATTTTAATAATTTGACAAGAAAACAGGGACATTAACGTCTGTGAAACATTCATACAATTTGGAAACATCTTTATATCATTTTAATATTACATGGTATCTAGATTACAGTCACCTTGGCATCCTTTGAATTAATATGAAAATTACTTTTTTTATGTACAAAAAGATTCATCTCAATCCCAGATTATGGCAACACCTTTCTAAAAGGTCTTTGCCTACATTGTTTTCCAGATTCGCTTTTTTCTAAAATGTGATTTTCTTTAGTGCTCACCTTAACAAAAAAATCTCTACTAACATCATATATGGGGAATAAGCTCCAAGTCCTAAGCACAGAATATATCACTCTCATAACAGGTACCATTTTACATACCCACCCCTCTTACCTTATGGTAACGTGCCACCAGCTGTCCTGTCATATCATACACCACATTGGTATTATATTGATAGTAGCCATTTGGAGGACACCTGGAGTCATAAGAGTTACATGGCTTTTTGTCCCCAATATTTGCCAAGACATAGATAGAGTTGTTCTTGGCCAGGCAGCTGAGTCTTGCTTGTATTGGTGTGTGACCAAATCTAAATCAAATTTTAATGAAGATATTTCAATAAGTCAGGCAGAGAAAGGCAAATACTGTTTGATATTACTTATTTGTGTTATCTAAAAAGGCTGAACTCATAGAAACAGAATAGAACAGTGGTTACCAGGGGCTGGAAGGTGGGGGAACATGTTGTTTAAAGATACAAACTTGCAACTAGTAGTAAATAAGTCTTGGAAATCTAGTGTACAGCATAGTGACTATAGTCAACAATACTGTATTCAACGTTGTTTAGAGACTAGATCTTAATTGTTCTCACCACACACAAAAAAAGATAGTTACATGACATGCTAGAGGGATTAACTAGAGCTATGATGGTAATCATATTGCAATATATAAATATATCAAATTAACACATTATACACCTTAAACTTACCCAATGTTATATGTCAATTATATCTCAATAAAAAGGCATTTCAACTTTAAAAAGGATTTTGGTTGCTTCATACATGAACAATAACAACAAGAGGACTACAAATGGCCAATAAACATAAGGAAAAAATGCTCAAAGTCACTAATCATCGAAGAGACGCAAGTTAAAACCACAATGAGATATCTCCTCACACCTGCCAGAGTGGCCGCCATCAGTGAATGAACAGAAGTGCTGGCGTGGGTGTGGAGGAACGGGAACGCTAGGGAATTGTTGTTGGGAATGCAGACTGGTGTAGCCACTGTGGAAAGCAGTATGGAGTTTTCTCAAAAAATTAAAAACGGAACTGCCTTTTAGCCCAGTGATCCCACTTCTGGGACTATATTTTAAGAATTCCAAAACACCCATCAAAAAGAATACACGCACCCCACATTTTTGTAGCAGTGTTATCTACAATAGCCAGGATCTGGAAACAGCCTAAGTGACCATCAGTAGATGAGTAGATGAAAAGTTGTGGAAGAGCCTGGCTTATGTGGCTCAGTGGATTGAGCATCGTTCCATGGACTGAGAGGTCCCGGTTTGATACCCAGTCAGGGCACATGCCCGGGTTTTGGGCTAAATTCCCAGTAAGGGGCATACAGAGGGCAGCTGATGGATGAATCTCTCTCACATCTATGTTTTTATCTCTCCCTTCCTTTCTCTCTAAAAAAATCAATAAAAACATATTAAAAGAAAAAGTTGCGGAACATTTCCACAATGAAATACTACATGGCTGTAAAAAAAAAGAAGGAACTCTTACCTTCTGTGACAGCATGGGTAGACCTGGAGATTATTATGCTAAGTGAAATAAGACAGAGAAAGACAAATACCATATGATCTCATTTATGTATGGAACCTAATGAACAAAAGAAACTGGTGAACAAAACAGAGACAGAGGCATGGATACATGGAACAGACTGACAGAGGTCAGAGGGGAGGGGGAGGGGTAGACTGGATGAAAGAAGGTGAAGAGATTAGCCACAGAATTTGTATGCATAAACTATGGACACAGACAACAGTGTGGTGATGGCTAGAGGGAATGAGTTGGGGTGCGGTCTGGGTGAAGGCAGGCAAAGGGGGGGAAGTGGGGACATCTGTAATCACGGCAACAATAAAAATAAAGAGAAAAATAAAAAATAAATAAATTTAAAAAAAAAACAATAACAACAACAAACTCATACACACAGAGAACAAACTGATGGTTGCCAGATGGGAGGGGGTTGGGTAAAAAATGGGAAGGAAGTAAGAAGTGCAAGTTGGCAGTGACGACATAGTCACGGAGGTGTAAAGTACAGCATAGGGAACATAGTCAATAATATTGTAATAACTGTGTATGGTGCGGGTGGGTACTAGACTTCTAAGGGGGATCACTTTGGAAGTTACATAAATGTGTAACCACTATACTGTATACCTAAAACTAACATAATATTGAATGTCAACCATAATGAAAAAATTAAAAATTTTAAATAACAGTAAGAGCCTAAGTAAATGAAATCAATATAAAAACTATTTATGAAAAAGATCCTATTTTTAAAGCCACAAATTACACTTAAACTGGATGAATTTTTTCCACCTCCTATCTATTGCTCTGGCAACTCTGTTCCCTGTCCTGCATCGCTGGCTGTCTCCTCTCCGATCACTCCATCGGCATGCAAATATGCTCGAGTACCCCCCATTGCCATAAAAATGAAATAAAAACTTCTCTTGAACTGACATGCTTCTCTAAATCTTGCTCCATTTCTCCGCTTCCTCCTATAGCAAAACTCCAAGAAAGAAATGTCCATCTTGCTGTTCCCAGCTTGTCCTCTCCCATTCTCTTTTAATCCTTCTGTGGTCCAGCAGACAGCTCTTCCTAATGCCAGTGAGGACCCACGTCTAACGATCTCAGCCTCCTTGTCTGCAGCAGCTGACACCACGGATTATAGCCTCCTCCTGCACACTCCTTGCTTCCTGCACCCCGCTGTTGCCTACTCACTGGCTCCTCCTCTCATTCTCCTTTACTGGCTCCTCCTCACGTCTCCTGAGTCTAAACTCTGGAATTTCCTAGATCTCAAGACTTAGACCCTTTCTCTTCCCTAACTCACTCCGTAGGTGAAAACATCATGGTGTTAAAACCTTTCCCATGCAGACTCCTGAGTTCGTCTCTCAGCCTTGACCTTGTCGTTTCATGCCAGACTTACATAGCCAACTGCCAGGTTGGCATCTCCACTCGAATGTCTAAAGGACTGCTCAAACGTAAGGTGAGTAAAACTGAATTCCTAGTTTCCATCCCAGAAATACGATTTCTTCAGCGCTCCCTGTATCTGCAAAGGGCAGTTCCGTGTCGCTTGGGAGTCACTCCTGGCACTTGTCTCTCTCTCAGACCTCCACCTCTAGCAACAGATCATGTCACCTTGACCTCTGAAACATATCTCTACACTGACCCCTTCCAGCAATTCCATCCTGGTGCCAGCCCCAATCGGCTCTCAGCAGGGTGACTGCAATGCTGTAGTTTCCTATGTGGTCTTCTGCTTTGCAATTGCCCTCCTAGTCCTTTACACACACAGAAGCCAAACTGCTGCTCCTAAAGCATGAGTCAGACTGAGTCACTCCCGGAATCAAAACCCTCCAGTGTCTCTCCATCTCACTCAGAGGAAAAACCAAAGTTCTTACAGTAGACTTCAAGATCCTTCGTGATCTATAGCACCCCACACGTGACCATGTCTCTCCCTTGCCAAACACTGCAGCCATACTTTCTGGAAGATCCGTAGTCAATCCAAATTTTAAAATAACCACAATAGGTCCTACACCTCACCCCACCCAAGCGCCACATTGCCCCTACTCTTATCACAATACATGCTATGTCATACGTGACTTTGCTTACATCTGTCTCCCCCTGCTCAATATTCATAAGCCAAAGGGAAGGCATAGGCTTCGTTTTATTAAATGCTGTCTCCCCCACTCCTAGAATGGCACCTGGAACATAGTAGGTGCCTAAATAAATAATGGTTGAATGGCTCTGGCCAGTTTGGCTCAGTGCTTAGAGCGTCAGCCTGAGGTCCAGAGAGACCCAGGTTCGGTTCCCACTAAGGGCACGTACCTCGGTTGCAGTTTGTCCCCAGCCCGGTTGGTCGTGCGGGTGGCAGCCACTTGATGTGTCCCTTTCACATCGATGTTTCTCTCTCTCTCTCTCCATCCCACTCTATCTGAACAAAAAATAGAAAAAAAAAATGTCCTCAGGTGAGGATAAAAAAATAAATAATGGTTGAATGAATGAAAAAATGAATGATCTAAATCTGACTGTATTCGGTGATAATGCAAGCCCATTTGCTGTCACAGTGTGTTCTTTCTACTGTAGGGCTATGAAAGAGGCATTTTCTAAACACGTCAAAGAATCCCCATAGTTACTATGATCTTTGACTCATCCACACATTTACAACATATGTTGTTTTTAACAGGAAATCTAGAACTCAATCCCACTGTGAGATTAAAAAGAAATGGGTCATCTCAATTAAAACTTCTATGCAGAAAGACTGCCCAATTTTTGGCCTTTTTTTTTTCCCCCACAAAATTTCTTACATACATCATAGAGAGATGATCTCAGGACAGGACGGATGAGAAGACAATGTCATGTAGCACAATGTTCTCTTCTTTGTGCAGTTGATCTCTCTAGAGCAAAGACACACTGTTTTCTGATAGCCCCTAAATAAACATCAGAATAACCAGGAGTGCCTACAAAGGTGTGCTAGCCATATCCCCCAGCAAAAACATGTCAGAGGAATGTTAAATAAACTTCATTTGAGGTAAAAGAATGAGAGCATGTGAGAGGGTAACAGAATGAGATTTGAGAGGTGAGTGTGAATAAGTGTGAAAGAGTGAGATACCTTTCACTGCAAGTTGTCTTTTTCTTTTATCCTCACCCGAGGACATTTTTCCATTTTTGTTCAGATAGAGTGGGAGGGAGAGGGAGAGGGAGAGAGAGAGAGAGAGAGAGAGAGAGAGAGAGAGAGAGAGAGAGAACCATTGATGTGAAAGGGACATATTGAATGGCTGCCTCCCGCATGACCCCAACCAGGGATGGGGATGAATCACAACCAAGGAACATGCCCTTGGCCAGAATCGAACCTGCAACTCATTGGTCTGCTGGCCGACACTCTAACCACTGAGCCAAACCGGCCAGGGCACTAGTCCTAGTTTTAAATATCCTGTTTACATATTTTCTCCAAATTGAATGAAGATATTAAATCATGAACAATTGTTCAATGATATCTAAGTGCAACTTTTTAAATTCAACAAATTCCAAGATTAATACAACAGTAGCCTACACCATATACATGATAATCCAGGATTTGTCATTTTGCTGTGGTGAATGTACACATTTCTGAGAAATCACAGCACTTTAGCACAAACAACTAGGATAGATACAATAATACCTGTGGGGGTCTTGACATGGAATCCAGCCCACCTCAGGGTCTGGGACATCCTCTAGGTAAGGGAAGATGGTTTCCCTGGAAAATTTCCATCCATAAAGTGCATCTTCTGGGGTCACGATGATTTTGGCACCCTGTTCAAAACCAGTCAAATCAAAATTGTTTCTCCACGTGGAACACAGTGCAACAGCCTAATCTTTCACCAGATTTCATGCCCCTCCCATACATTATGATTAGTAGGAATAAAAGAATACCTGCTCAGCTGCCTGCTTAATTGCTTTCTCCAGAATATCTATATTCTTGTTCATAAGGAGCAAGGCATCGTCCCGAGAAACAGGTGTTTCTGTTTCCTTTGGCAATAGGACAGCATGTTCATATACGGCAGCTGTAAATGTATCCAGGGCACCGGCATGCAGGATAAGCAGGGCGAAAACTGCCACAGAGGTTTGAAAGGAGGATGTGCTCATGGCCAAGGTCCAGAGATTTCTGAAAGTGCCAGTAATATTCATGTAGCGTTTATAAAGGGCGGTGCATTTATGTAACAAATGACTGCCATCTACTGAGCTCTTACTTTATAATCTTGTGAATATTATGCCCAACCACTTTTGAGGGGGAAAAATTGCTGTTAAATGAATACAATCAAAGAGCATTACAAAGATTGTACAGCATGTACTATCGGTAAAGTTTGATGTCGAATTTCAAAAAAACACACAGAATTCCAATCTAGTACATTGACACTCTTTAACAGAAAGAAAACAGTAACTAAAGTAACTCTCACGTGAAAAATCATAGCACAACATACCTGCTCTATATCCTTCACCAGGTCAGTCTGAGAGGCAAAGACACATGAAGCTTCTCTGTAAGATTAGGATGGGATGACAATCATTAACACAAGTGGGTGACAATTTAGGAATGTAACGATCCTGACTGCTTAGTGGGATTTAGTTGTTAGACCCACGAAACAACTCTTGTTCAATTACACAGCTCAAGTCTACTTGGGGTACTTGGGGTGAAATGGGGGACAGGGTACCTGGGCACCAGCTCCTGGGTCTTGCCAAGCAGGACATGACAGACGTACATCGACCACGCGGTGGAGACAGAACAAAAACACCAAAGCGCTCAGGAGAGGGAGCAGCAGCCTCGAGCTCCGCCACAGCCTGAAGGACGTCCTGCTCTGGCCTCTGTCCCGGAAACAAATGGCATTTTGGAAATAGCATGCACAATCATTGGTAGCATTTCCTCACAGGCAGCAAGGATGACACATCAGAATAAGAAGCAACAGAAACCAGGCTCTTCTTTTCAGACAATTCTCTTGGTAATTGTATACCTCCCCCCCCCCAAAGGAGGATACTATATTAAAAAAAAAATACAATGTTTCTGTTCCTGCCCCCATTGGAGGTTTTCAAATGTCTTCAGAAGATTGTTTGAATCTGCCTTTTTGGAAAAAAATGTGCTTGAGCAGAACCAGTCTGAACTTGAACTATCTTTTGGTGTCAGGTCCCAACCTAGTGAGGTAAGTGAGGTGCTCCTCCAGCTCTGGACTAGAATGGGTGTTCGATTCTTGAGCCAGCTAATGCAAGAGAAAAATCTGCAAGTAATGACCTGCCATGCCCTACGGAACGGAAAGGGGGTGTCACAGAAAGTTGCCAGTAGCCAACTGGTTTTGACCTACAGCACCACCAGTTTCATGTGGTTCAAACTACCTCTGCTTGCTGCTCTCAGAAGCCGCGGAGCTGCAAAAGCCCCTTTGAGCTGGTGTCATGCTCCCAGTTCTTCAAAAGGGAACTAGGAACAAGCTCTTGCGATGATTTCGCTTGCGAATCATTAACTTTAGTTCTGCTCCAACTATGCCAAAGTTCACTGCATTCACTAAAGTAAACTTTTAAAAACTGTCTTGGGTGGTGCTACAGATTGAGTGTTTATGCGCCTCCCACTCCCAAACTCATATGTTGTCACCTCATTCTTAGTGTGATGGCATTAGGAGGTGGAGCCTTTGCAAAATGTTTATGTCCTGAAGATGGAGCCCTCGAGAATGGGTATCCTGCCCTCGTTAAAGAGTCCCCAGAGAGCCCCCTTGCCCCTTCTGCTGTGCAAGGACACAATGAGAAGGTGCCTGTCTCTGAACTGGGAAGTGGGTCCTCACCAGACACTGAATTTGCTGGCACATTTGTCCTCGGACTTTCCAGGCTGCAGAAGTTTGAGAAATAAATTTCTATTGTTTATAAGACACCCAGTCCATAGTATTTCCTTATAGCAGCCCACATGGGTTAAGACAGCCGTATTCTAAGATTTTGGCAAAGTAAGGACGACTGCCTTACTTTTAGGACAACCAAGATACCTCCAAAGGACATGGATCAAAGTCCTGTGTTCATTTATGTTGGCAGTTGTAGAAACAACCTTTTGAAAGGGTAGGATAAAAAAAAAAAAAAGCTGAAATCTCAGGTACTACAGAAGGAAAAATGAAAAGATAGATTAAAAATCGAACTGTGTCAAACTGTGTCAAACCATGAGGGTGTTGACAAAAGCAAGTTCAAACCTAAAGAAAAGTTCAGAGTTTATTTGAATCAAAGCTTAGGGCCAGACCTGCAATCAAAACCTCAAAGGATTGAGAAAATGCTCCAAGGAGTAGCAGTTTTGTAGTTTATTTTGTATATTAAAATCAAAAGCTTAGATAAAAGAAGGGTTATATGAAATCCGTTGGCAGTAGATTAATAATAAATAGTTCTATTGATTATTCATGCATTATACAATTTTTTTTAAAAAAAACACACACACTCGCCCAGCCAGTGTGGCTCAGTGGTTGAGCATCAACCAGGAGGTTGCCGGTTCGATTTCTGATCAGGGCACATGCCCAGGTGTAGGCCTGATCCCCTATGGGGGGCATGCAGGAGGGGGCCAATCGATGTCTCTCTCATTGATGTTTCTATCTCTCCCTCTGCCTTCCTTTCTCTCTGATATCAATAAAGAAAAAAAAAAGTAAAAACAAACAAAAACACACACACACATTCCACTTACCGAGAAACTGTCTTACTTGTGTATTACTGCTGAGAATGGGGAATGGCACAGCCAACCACCCCGGAAAAGAAGCTTGGCAGTTTCTGAAAAAACAAGGCACGACCCCACTCCCTTCTGGGTAGAACAGCAAATAGGGAAGTAGGGCAGAAACCCAGTGCCTCCTGCCTCTTGTTCCCTGTTCTGGAAGAGGACTGGACAGTGTTGGTGGAAAGTTCAGAGGCTCCAGGGCAGGAAGAATTTCTTTATGAGCTGTTACCTCAGTTTCTGACAGGCTGTACCATTAACCAAAGTGACTAGATGCAAAGATGGAAAGGAAAAGCCGAAGTCTTCCATTTGTCTACTTTGAACACCCAGAATCAGAGTCACAAGCCATAGCTCTGCTAAATGGAACTCATTTCTATGGAAGATCAGTGATCACTTAATGAGCAGTATCTACGAGGGATGCTCACTTCTGCACCAACACACCAAAGTCCCCTGAGCTGTGTGAACACAAATTCCGCTGCAACAAAAATGAAGAAGTTGTGGGCAGGTCTTCCTCTTCTATACATTTTTTTTCCAATTAGTATTGCTGCTTTACCTTAAGATACATCTTTAATTTCAGAAGATGCAAGGGCATGTGTATAAGCCAATTCTGTGGCTTTCTTACTATGAAATGATAGTGTTACTTCCTAATGCACCTCCCTGTCCACGCACTATCTGTGTTCCACACCCAGAGGTAGGACCTAGCTTTTAGGAATGGACTCACCAACAACCAAGTGACTGATCTTCATCAGCTAAGTAAATAATGGTAAAAGAACCCAGTAATAAGTAATAAAACAGAAAACAATATAGGAAATGAATAGAAACCAAACTTCTGAAATTGTATGAAGAAAAGATATTAATATTGTGTTCAAATATTTATCCACAATGGTTTTAATTATTTTAAGAGGAAAAAAAAAATACCGCTATCAGAATTCATCCAGCAACTGATTTCATGATGGTCATTTTCAAAATACATAATAATGTGCCATCTGATTTGGTGCTCAAATTTGTCTTGAATGACAAAAACTTAAAAATGAAGTCATGCACTACTGTTTGTATGTGCCATGCTTTTTGTCAACAAGAAATCGACTTTGAGCTGTTTATTTTAGTACCGATGACAACATTGCACTAAACTGTAAATCAGAAGTTATACCGACCCCCACGCTTTCTTAGATTGTCAACTCTAACTCTCAACTACATATAGGCTGGGATTAGAATAGGCTGTGGATTTTCTGAATTAAACTAGTACAAATATTTAAGATTTGCACATTGTCCTTAATAAAGATTGAACAAGTAGGCTTTAGTTTCATTTGTTAATACTTTAGATGTTGTGTTTTTTGTTTTGTTTTGTTTTCTGTCTGAATATGCTATTTCTGAGTCTTACTCTCCTGTGGGTTTATTTCATATGAAAATAGAGGACATATAACATTTGATATCAAAGGAAAGGTAACTATCATAGGACTAGCCTTTGGCTCATTCCTTTTTGATATGATTGTATATAAACAGAGATATGTGTTTCTTTACTTGTGCTTACTAATTGTACTTAATTAAAATTAGTTTGAAAATTATGTCAGTATTTATTATCTACCTTTTTTTTTTAATCCTCACCCGAGGATATTTTTTCCATTTTTTTGTACAGATAGAGTGGGAGGGAGAGAGAGAAACATCGACGTGAAGGGACACATCGAGTGGCTGCCACCCACACGACCAACCAAGGCCGGGGACAAACTGCAACCGAAGTATGTGCCCTTAGCGGGAACCGAACCCGGGTCTCTCCGGACCGCAGGCCGACGCTCTAACCGCTGAGCCAAACTGGCTAGGGCTATTATCTACCTTTTTTGCCAGCTAGGTTTGAGAAGGTATATTTAACATATTTAAATCCTCACAACTTAATAAACAAGTAAATAGAATATTTCATTAATGTACGATATTTAGTATTTATTGTCCAAATGAAATGTCCTATGTAAAATAAATGAGTTGAGGGAAAAACTAATTATGCAACTACCATACTATCCAGCAATTGTATCATTCCCAGGCAGCTATCCCAAAGAATTATGAAGACATGTTCACACAAAAATCTGAACATTAATGTTCACAGCAGCTTTATTTGTAATAAACATAAATGGGAAGTAATCCAGATGTCCTTCAATGAATGATTAAACCAGCTGTAGACCCATGCCATGGAATATTCCTCAGCAATATAAAGAAATAAACTATTGATACATGCAACAATGTAGATGGATTTTAAGAGCATTATGCTGAATGAAAAAAGGCCAGTCCCTAAAACCAACAACATACTATGTGATTCTGCTTATACGACATTCTTGAAATAACAAAATTATAGACTAGTGGTTGCCGGAGCTTAAGGAAGGAGTGAGGGTGACAGGGAACTGGATGTGGACATAACAGGGCAACATGAAGGATGGGGAATGTTCTGTATCTCCATCAATATATCCTGGCTATGATACTGTATGACAGTGTTGCAAGATGTTTCCATTGGGGAAAACTGGGTAAAGAGTAGACATGGTCTCCGTGTATTAATTCTTTTTTTAAATAAAAATGTTTTGATTGATTTTTACAGACAGAGCAAGGGAGAGGGAAAGAGAAACATCAATCGCTTAACCCTTACTGGGGGTCGAGTCTGCAACCAGTGACCTTTTGGGAGGACACTCAACCAACTGAGCCACCACACTGGCCAGAGTTGTGTATTAATTCTTACTACTGCATGCAAATCAACAATTATCCCCAAATTTATAAAGTTTAATTAAAAAAACAATTTGTGATTTATTTTTCCTTTGATTAATGTGTATATCACATACACATATGTTGCAATATGATCTTAACATAAAAGATACATTTATTTATTATTATTACATTCTACATTTATGCTACATAAAATAGTCTCCTCTTATAAAAGGAATCTTTTAAGCTGGGAACTTTTGCTACATTTAGAAGAATATAAATATGTTAAAATAAAAATATAATGCACACACGGTTTCCTTTGATAGTTTCATCCTGTCTTTTGTTTTCACTGCTCAAAGTTCCTCTTTCTTTCCTCTACTATTTTTAACTTTTTTGTCCTTTATTTTAATACTACTTGCTTTTTACAGACAGAGCAAGATTATACTAAAATCATAAAATGTGGAAGAGGCAAGGTTAGTTTCATACAAAGTGTCTTTAAATACACTGGTATCCGTGGCGGCATATATTGACAACAGCCTGTTGGGAATGGGAACAAAAGTTCTCTCACCAGAAAGCTTGGAATCTCTGTGTTGGCCCTGAGTACACCCGGACGCCCACGCGGTGGAGGAAAAGGGAGCCCAGCTTCTGGGCCCCGCTGAAGGATGCTGGCAGATCCGCAGGTGAGATAGCGGCCTCACGCGGCAGCATCGGGAACTGCAGGAGCTCAACATACCTTTGGCCACTGGGCGGAGCCCCCAAGTGCCCGCGCTCTGCAAGAACTGAAGCGAGACCAGGGCGATTGAAGCCTTGAAGCGGGGCTAGGGCCATCGAGGCCTGGACCTGTTCTGCACCCCATAGGAACGCAGCTAGCCGGAGTCATACTCCTTCCCGGCGTTGCTCTGGGAAACAGAAGATCGGTGTTCCCCCCTTTCCCCGTACTCCCGGAGCACTGGACCACCCTCTGGAGGTCTCATGGTGAAGAGACTTGGGGGGAAAGAGAGAATGAAGAGTTCATGGAATTTATGAATATTCGATTTTGGCAATTAATGCCAAAAAGCATTCCCAAACTGTCGTACTTCAATCTTGATTTTGTCATCCTTCAGATAATTTTTTTTTTCGTTTTGGTGGTGTGAAAGGGCACCACAATGTGGGTTAATTTGCCCCTTTAGGATCTGTTTTGCTCCTACTCCTCCCCATTTCTCTAAGAGGTACTGCCATCCACCCATACCTGTCATGCCCAAACCTGGGAATCATCCTAAATTCCTCTCCCCTTCTCTTTCCACATGAGCAGGTCTTGTTGGTTCCACTTCCAAGCACATCATTTTTCTCTCCATCTCGGCCACCACATCCCTGATCCAAACCATTGACATCTCTCTCAAAGCTTCCAGAGACCTCCCTCCAGCCCTGCTAAACTGCATCCCCACTCACATCCACATGCCTACACAACAACCTTCCTGAAATATGAACCAAATTCTGGCATCCCCACCTAAAAGCTGGCCCGTCCACACTTCCCCAACCTCCTCTCTTCACTAGACACCTAATGTGCAGGCCACGATCTCATTTTGACCACATCAAGCCTCTTTGCACATGCTGTGGTCTGCTTTCCCTTTCAGATTTGTTCACAAGCCCCAACTCCAAGGAGAAGCCGTGTCGTAATTAGGACCACACACCTAATCCATCCAGCTATTTCCTCTCTCACGTCGCCATGTTGTTTTCCTTCCTAGCATCTCTGTAAGACAGTTAGAGATTCTGGTATTTATCTACTGTTGGTCCCTTCCCCTGAAATATAAATTAGATGAAGGCAGAGATTGTGTTTATCTTGATCACAGAGAAATCTCTAGCACCTATCACTGGGTCAGTTCAGAAAAGGCATTTAATAAATATTTTTGCACAGCTAACTAGATAAAACAATTTCTTCTATTTAGAAAAAGGTAAATGTGGCTCATACACCATGGAAATGAGAGTTGTACAAAAAAGATTTTCTGTCTTCAACCAGTAGCATGGATTTTACATGAAGTCAGAGGACACCTTCCCTGACATACAGGCATTCCTGTGGAATCACCTGCTCTAGGAATGAATACATCTGCTAGAAATATGTATTTTTAATGGTAGAACTGAAACAGAGATTAGGGGAAATGAATGTTATACCAAGCATTATTTAGAAATCCAGATCATAATTGAAAGAATGTTGCAAAAAATGGAAGTCTCAAGTAACGCTATTCTTCTACCTTTCACACAAAATTTTAGAAGCACGGGGGGCCATGGAATGCTGCAGTTTTGCCATAGTAGGAAGGAATTTTCCTTTAAACAAAAACAAACATCTCAGGACAAAAATAAAGCATATCTTTTAAAAACTGATTTCATAGTAATTGTTCTACATATACTGAGTCACCTATATTATCTTTAAGCATATCAATTCTTTCCCTTAAGCATATAATTTCTTTCCTTGTTAATAATATACAAAGGTACATTCACAGAATCAGTGCAAAAGTAAACAGGAGACCTAGGGTCAAGCTCAAGTTTGATCACCTAAAAACACAAAGTTTTGTTGATTTTCAACGACTCTTTTCATATGTGATGTTTCAAATATGGCTGGTTCAGCAGGCCAACTCTGCAGGACAATAGTACATGCAGCCCACTGCAGACCACCCAAAAGTATGTGGACACATCCAGGATGCTGGTGAGGTTTCGTGGAGTTCTGTGTGTAAACTTAAGAACACTTTTCCAGCATTCCAACTTTTATGTTCAAGGTCAGAAACATCCATCTCCCAACCTTGTATCAATCCAAGATTCTCAAGACTGGTTTTCATCAGGCAAGAGAGCACGTTGTTCCTCCTCTGTACCAAGGATATTTTGAAATTTTGATCTACATTGAAGAAAAGAAAAGAAGAACCTTAATATTTCTCATCTTAAAAAACTCAGTACCTACATCTCTACCCAACTACCTCCTTAAAGGTGTCTACCAAGTCCTGAGACTCCGAGTGCCCAGAAATCTGCCGAGCGTAAGTACGGAGATAAACTGGTATTTCTTTTTCAATCCCACAGGCTGACTTTTAAAGGGGGGAAGGAGTTCAAGAGTTGACCATACCTTCTTCTCCTTGAGTACTCCAATAGATAAAACAAGCCCATAGCTAGTCCCTTGAAAACAATTAAAAGTACTAGTTAATATCAATTCTCCAAGTCACGTATCTGCACAAACATCAGGAAAATGAAAAGGAAAGACTGATGACTCACAGTGGTCAGAGCCCAGAGACCTTGCACAGCTGCTGCCCATTCAAAACCAACTTTCTCATACAGAAGTCCACCCAGGGTTGGTCCTAGGAAAGCACTAACAATGAAAAGAAGAAAGAGTATTAGTAGTGCCGGGAAAAAAAAAAAAGAGTTCCTGCCTAACGGCTGCATGATCCTTCGGTCAAAGGTCTTCATTAAACTGGAACTATAAATACTTAAGAAAAAAGGCAAATCCTGGACATACCATTGAGTATAAGAAAATTATTCTACCCGATAATGATGATGCTTATATCTTTTAAACAACTGTAAAATTATAACTACTTCTGAACAGTTGGAGCATTATTCGAAAAAATAAATAAATAAATGACAGGAATTCAAAAGAATCTTTATATTATTCTTTCTATGTTTCTCAGTGTTTGTATTAAAAATAATTTAATTCAGTACATATTTACGGATGATATCTACATTGTCAACATAAGTTATGACTCTGGTATAGTAGAGAGTAAAAAGTAAATAAATTTTAAAAACTGAGATTTGGCCCTGGCTGGTTTGGCTCAGCAGTTAGAACATCAGCCCTCCAATGGAAGGGTCTCGGGTCTGATTCAGGTCAAGGGCACATACGTACGTACATACCTGGTACTTATAGTTGCAGATCCTGTTCGGGGTCCTGCAGGAGGCAACCAATTGATGTGCCTCTCACATCGATGTTTCTCTCTCTCTCTCCCTGCTTCCCTCCCTTCCACTCTCTCTAAAAATCAGTGGCAAAATATCCTCTAGTTAGGATTAACAACAACAAAAATGAATAAATAAAAATAAAACAAACAAAATGAATAAATAAAAATAAAACCTGAGATATGCTCCTGGAAAATTAACTTCAAAATGTCATCTTTAGTCTAGCTGGTGTGGCTCAGTGGATTGAGCATTGTCCCACGAACTGAGAGGTCTCGGTTCGATTCCTGGTCAGGGCACATGTCCAGTTGTGGGTTCGATCCCCAGTAGGGGGCGTGCAGGAGGCAGCCAATGGATGCTTCTCTCTCACATGGATGTTTCTATCTCTCTTTCCCTTCTTTACTTTCTAAAAAATGAGTAAAAACATATATATTTTTTAAATATAATTTTTATAAGACAAAGGGTATGGGGCCATTTTGATTAAGTATTAGAACTGCTGGCCCATCCAACAATCTTAGAGTGACAGGGTGCAGGTTAACAATCCAGTTCTGCCCTGCATGAGTTATGTGCCTTTGGGCAACTCATTTGGCATCTCCATGTCTTCACCTGAAACCGAGGGAGAGCTATTTTCCATCTCACAGTGAATAGAATTCAGTGGCTACTCACCCAATGGACCACATTGCACTAAAGAGACCCGACACGAGCGCCAGTGTGCTTAACCCTTCTTCAAATCCATTTTCACTGCGGAGAGAGACAGAGGGCATCTGTGACTGAAGGGAAGTCCATGTGAAAGAAGAGAACTGTCTAGTAGACAGTGAGCCAGGGATGATCTGGACAAAACCAACAGCAGGAATACTCCATTTCTAAGATGAAAAGCTAATCTAATTTGAAGGCATTTTCATACTGATGTTTACTTCATGGTTTTCTAAAAAGCAATTCTGTTGCACCCTGGCTGGTGTGCTGCGTGGTTAGAGTGTCGGCCTGTGCACCAACCGATCGATGTGTCTCTTACATCATCTCTTTCTTTCTCACCCCCTCCCTCCTTCCTTTCCACTCGCTCTAAAAGTCGATGGAAAAAATATCCTCGGGTGAGGATTAACAAAAAAAAAAATGTGTTGTTGCATATATAATATACAATATTAAGAATCACCACCCATTTGCACTAAATGCTAAGAAAAAGATATAATTAAGATATTCTTAAAATGAGATGAGCATGTAAAGCAGTGCTTTCCTAAAGCAACCTTCCTAATGCTGCAAGTCCTCATGTTCTGGGGACCCCCAACCATAAAATTATTTTCGTTGCTACTTCATAACTGTGATTTTGCTACTGTTATGAATCGCCATAGGAAATAAGCATTTTCCGATGGTCTTAGGTGCCCCCTGTGAAAGGGTCGTTCGACCCCCGAAGGTTGAGAACTGCTGATGTAAAGGGGGCATGGGCAACTTTTAGCAAAAGCTGGGGCAGCTCCTTAACCCTGTGAGAGATGTAGAGTTGACACAGCCTAGTGACCAAGTATGCTCCCTGAAGTTCACTTTGAAATAAACTCGGTCGAGTCACTGTCGCTCCATCATCACGCTGCTGAACAGAAGACTGCAGGCCAAGACGCAAATGCCCGTTGTGACACTGGATTCACAGCAAGACACACAGGCTTGGTCTTCGTCCATTCCTGGCACAGAGCTCCTAAAAACCCTTTGGAGTTCCTCACTGATGCACAGCAATAAAAGTCTTTTCTTGAATTCATGAGGTGACTTTTGGAAAACACCTAAGGATGGCGGCTGGTGGCTTGGAGAGCCATTCCTGTGATTAGGGGGTCTGCCCACCCCGCACCCCCTCCACACCATCCACCTCTGAGAGGGGAGAGGGGCTGGAGGTTGACTCAATGGCCAACGGTTGATGATTTAATTAACCCTGCCAAAGTAATAAAACCTCCACAAACCCCCAAGGACAGGGTTCTGAGAACTTCCTGGCTGGTGAACCCGATGCTGACACACAGGCCCCTTTGTTCAGGACCTCGCCATGTGCATCTCTTCATCGGGCTGTGGATTCGTAACCTGTATTATCCTTTGTTAATAAACCATAATCTAGGGAGGAAACTGTTTCCAGAGTTCGCTGAGCTGCTCTAGCAAATGAATCAAACCCAAGGAGGAGATCGTGTGAACATTTGATTGATAGCCAGTCGGTCAGACGTACAGGTGATAAACCGGACTTGTGATTGGCATCTGAAGTGGGGACAATCTTGTGAGCCCTTAGCCTGTGAATCCTAATGCTGTCTCCGGGTTGGCAGTGTCAGAACTGAGGTGAATTGTAGGACACCCAGCTGGCAGGAGAGAACGGCGTGGAAAACCCCCCACACATCGAACTTCGCACTAGAATCATTGCACTTGGTCACGCTTTGCTCTTGCATGAACCCCTGAATGAGAGGAATGATGCTGAGGCTTTTCCATTTTGCTCCGGTTTTTTAAAAGTACATCTGTACAGAAGCATAAACCAAGCTAAGCCTCTGTCTTCAACCATTTAGCTATTACTGTATTAATATTACTATATATTAACATTTATATTATTGCATCATTGTGATTCAAATAGTGTGTGACATGAAATCAGAAAAATTTAGTATCGTGAAAAAAAATATCCAAAGTCTTAAAAAACTGAGAAATTCAAGAAAGCCTGTGATGCTCACAACTATTCAAAATACAGCATTTCAAGCAACGGACGTAACTTACTAGGCACAACTGAGAATCTCCGGGAAAGTTGGAATTATGCTCATTGCAGCAGAGATGCCATTGACGACTAGCATCAGCACCAGCAGCCACAGCTGACTGCAAAGGAGTTTCAGAGAAAAAGCAAAATTAGCGTTTTAAGAGACACAGAGGTTCATGATAAAGAAGGCAGGCAGGATCCCAGAGAAATTCCTTTCATACATTCCAAGACTAGTCCTGTCCTCATTCCCGTCCGGTCTCATTTCGTTCAGGGACAGCATCCCTTGGCTCCTTATGGGGGGTGTGTGGGAGGGGTCAATTCCTCCTGATAGCTCACATGTCTGGAGTCAAGCTGCCTTATTATCACCGCACAAAATCTTTTCAAAATTGTTGAAAATGCCAATGCTAATGTTGTACTTGGCTTTGAAATTCAAATGACTGAAAGGCGGCAGAGAAGGGGGTGGTAAAGTGACCGGAAACTAGTCTTTATTCCCTGCCGCTGCTCTGCCAGTTACTTAGCACCCATGACCTCACTGAAGCCTGCGGCATCCTATGACAGAAACATGCTCCGAAATGGTTCAAGGTGACATAGGCAGTCTCCTTTCAGAGAACTGCAAGATGGGGCAGAAGGCAGGAAGCTTTGATAGGATAAAGAAGAAAGAAGAGAAAACTAGAAAAAGATCTGATTGGCTGGGGCTGCCCAGGCCGCCGTGTTTGGATGAGAAGGGTGGGAGCTGGCTTGGCATGGGGCGGGCTGGCTAGCCTGCGTTTCTGGGTGAGGACAGCATTTGTAGGGACGCAAAATATCTAAGTTTCAGTTTGCTGACATGGCAGCCCAGGCAGGAGCGGCTTCTTGGGCAAAGAAAGTTATTTCAACAGTACTGTTATCGACTCTTCTTTGTAGACAGAAAAACTGAGGCTCTTGGCAGTTAAGTGATTTGCCTGAGTTCACACAGCTAGGCCGGGGCAAAGCCAGGATGTGATCCCAAATCTGAAAGACTCTGAAATCCTGGCTCTTTTCACATCATGCTTTATCCCAGAAATAATTTGCTCACTTTAGTCAGCAAATGAATTATATTAAACAAGCTTTCATGAGCAGCTACTACAGATGATACAGAAGAAAAAAAAAACAAAAAGATTTGGTCCCTGCCTTAAGGAGTAAGAGTAAGGAGGAGCAGCAAAAAGAAAAACATATTCTAAGAACTACCAACTAAAGGCAGGTGGCCACGAACAGGTGTGCAATGACACACAAGGAGAATCCGCATGTTTCTCACTGGGCAGCGATCTCACGTGTTCCTGTCCGCTTGTCCTGCCGCTGGCTGCTAGCGAGGTAAAACACTGTCCGTCTAACAAGTACACCAATACACTCATAAATCAAGGTACTTATTTCGATAATAAGGCTTGAAATACTAAGCCATAGTAGTATTACACCAAATTCTTTTAAAAACAATTTTTACTGCTATTTGACTAAAAATACAGGAAAAATAATGTACCTTTGAATGTGCAAAACCGGGACAGGTCCTAACAGCATGTAGCACCCTGCTGTGATTAAGTTTCCCAAAACCAGAAACCATTTCCGTAGATGCTGGTAAAGAAAGACACCAAAGAAACTCTTACAACCCTCCATGATCAAAGACTATTTAAACACGGCTGATGAACACACATCATGGTATTAAAAAATCCAAACAGATTGAAGAAGACAAAACTCTACATTTAAGAGAAAATAGGCAGACAGTAAACACAAAAGCAAGGGTGACATACCCCAACATGGGGAGTGTGCAAAAACAAGGGTCCTGGGGAAGGGAGTGGATGACAGGTTTTGTGCATGATGAACCACTTCAAATATAACAATTTAAAAAGCAGTCACTACGAGGATGTACCTAGCAGGTAAAACATCTGGAAATTTTACATCATTGAAAAAGTACCCACCAAAATGATTCCTTATAAACTACTTGAATGCAGGCTGAAAATTATCGGGGGACAACAGCTACACAGTTATATAAGACTATGTCTTAAAACCAAGCTTCAAACACTGTTTGACACTTGCTTTTCACCCTCAGAGGTTAGAGCGTTAGAGCATCGGCCCGCGGACCGGAGAGACCCGGGTTCAGTTCCCGCTAAGGGCACGTACCTCGGTTGCAGTTTGTCTCTGGCCCCAGTTGGGGTCGTGTGAGTGGCAGCCACTCGAGGTGTCTCTCTCACATCGATGTTTCTCTCTCTCTTCCTCACTCTCTCCCTCCTGCTCTATCTGAATATAAATGCAAAAATGTTCTCAGGTGAGGATAGAAAAAAAAAAAGACACTTGCTTTTCTTAGTAATCTCCATGTAATTTAGGTCTTGATCAATATACATGCAGATTGAATGAAGAGGGGAAATGCAATCAATAAGCACTGAAGCCCAAGAAGCTGAAGATGTGGCTAACAGCACTGGTTCTGTAGACTACTTATTGGGCTGAATTGTTGAGGTCTAGTTAAAGGAGAAAAGAAGGGACTTTCTGTCAGGGTGGCTATAGGATCACCAATGCATATCCGTGTGGCCAAGCCATTGACTCCTACAGAAAAACTAAATCATCTCCTCTCAGTTTAATCAAGTCCTAACACCTCTGGAGCTCTGCCCTAATTATTAAAGACAACCCTTTTTTTTTTTTTTTTGGCATCAAGGAGCTTTTACCTTTAGAAAGTCTAACACAATAGTTTTTCAACAAGATTCCTCTTTTCCCAGATGAAGAAATTAAAAGTGAATCTGCTCAGGGTGATGGCAAGTTGGAAGACCCTGGAATCTCTCCATCAGCTCAAAAAATGGAATATATTAGAACTTAAATGTTCCTACCTCCCCCCAAGAAAGATAAATAGGTGAGGTGATGGATGTGTTAATTAACTAGATGGAGGGATCCTTTCACTATATATTTAGATATATAACAATTCACCATGATGTGTACTTTAAATATCATATATTTTGTCAATTATGCCTCAATGAAGCTGAAACTTTAAAAAATGAGTATGTCCATTCTAATCAATGGCCCTCTGGAGTTCTAGAGGGACAGTTGGAAAACCACTGGTCTAAACATACCAAAGCAATTCTTAAACGTAAGTTAAGGGTACGTACTGGCATTTTATCGCTTAGTAGCCCAAAGAGTGGTGAAGAAATGGTGTAGGATAGCGCCAACCCCAGGAACACCAGCCCCACATATCCAGCTGGTAAGTTAAACTGTAAAAGAAATCTTGTATTAAAGTCACACGATTAGGTCATTTCTTAAATAAACATCTCTTTCCTGTCTACCATTTCTTCAGCTCTTGTTATCTACGAACAGTCTATTGATAACGCTCAGCATCCTTCCTAATTTTTGTCTTGATTTTGTCAGATTGTCAATGGCTTAGTTTTCCTCTGTGAGGGGAAAAAAATCTAACCAGAGGTCAGATGTCCTAGATATTTTGCTTTGTAGCATTTGACATTAAACACATAATTTTGCTTCTATGAATCATAGCTTTTTACATGTAAATGAATGATTTGCAAACTTTAGTGTGCATAAAAGTTACCTGGGGAACTTATTAAAAGAGGTTCTTGGGCCTTAAGCCTAGAATTTTTGGTTAAAAAGTCTGGGAATTTGCATTTCTAACAAGTCATCAGGTGATGCTGAGTGTCCACAGACTGAGCGCACTGGTGTAAAAATCATTGATGACATTATCTATTCTATCCACCTGAAAGGTATAGCGACGTCTAATTAAATAATTCAATGGTATGGCACATTTTTAAAGGCTTTTAAAAGAGTAAGCTACCACAAACTTTGATACTGTTACTATTACCAATATGATATAAATGCCTTCTTTTTGGTTATCTTAGTTGTTCTCATTTTCGTTAATTAAGCCTATGAGATTTATTTATGAGCCATTACATATTTTAACAATGTTTATGACAAATAGTAACTCATGAGAAAAATTAGTCCTTTAAATATGAAAGCAAGACACAAAAACAAGATATGTCCTCGTCTAATATTACAACTGGGGAGAGACGGGTGGAGCCCTGCTACCCTAAAGGCTGGGCGACCGTGACCAGACAGCAAGCCACCAATTCAAACAACTGATAAGAAGTCAGAAGAAAGATTTTTTAAAATTCATAGAAAAAAAGGAAACTACATTTCTAAAGATTTCTTATAAGATAGACATGAGTGACTTGGGTTTACCAGAGATGGTTACACATTTTTTGCACTTTTTAGACACAACTTCTTGCGGACAGAAAAAAGACTCTTAAGGAGAAACACTGCTGATGTGCGTGGAAGGTGTCACCATAAATAGAAAATATTTTTCGTATGTACTACCTCCTGGACGCTCACTGCTTAAGCACTGTACCTATTACTCTCTAAATTTTGGGCCACACATTAAAATTATAGTCCCAAGTTTATCTTTTGGGCAGTTTATACACCAAAAACTCCCTTTACTGACTTCAAGGGGTTGTGTTTCTCGTAACTGTGCTTTTTTAATTGTAGTGCTTCGCAGAAGTCAGTGTGGGCTGTAATTAATAGATTTCTGCCTATAGACAACATATTAATTCTCTAGTATAATTAACTACCATGCTTGGTAATACACTTTGTTGCATTAATAATTTTTTTCAAAAATATATAATAATAATAAATTTCTATGATATCAAACTTTTAAACGTCAGTAGTTTTAAGCACTAAGAAATGGAGAGGCCCTGGGTTCCTCTCCTATCCCAGGTTAATACAGCCATAGTCTTTCAATTATATGCAACAGCCTAAAAAGTAAGTGGATTCAGGGAAGATCTGTCAGAGAGGAAGGACACCTCACATTAAATGAGCGGCAGGCTACCCCGTTCTCCACTGAAATTCAGACAGAAGAAAAGTGTTCTTGGTAAGCAGCTAGGATGGTACGCAAGCCAGACCTATGATGACTCGAGCCGGCCTTGGAAAGGAGGCGAAGGTTCGGGCCGCTTAGTATAAGGCTTCTTTCATTTGCACCGAAGCAGACCCCAGCTGCAGGGACAGCAGGCAAAAGGACAGGCTACCTCGGTGTGCAGTTCTCGCTCCGCCTCCGCCTCGCAGCCACGCGGGGAACTTCCCAGCCAGCAGGGCCCAAGTGCGAGCGATTGCGTCCACTTCCTAACCGCAGAGCTCTCCGCAGCCATACTCACCTTCTTCAAAACGAAGAGAGACAGAGTGGGGTCAAGGAAGCCAAAGCAGGCGCTGAGTGAGTTGATGACAAAGGCTATGAGGGTGACCTTGGGTAAACTGATGAGTTTCCAGAATGAATGTTCACCTGGATTAGCCTCTTTGGGGTAAAAACAAAAAGAGAAATTACAGTAATTAAAATCACTTAACTATCATTTAACCTATTTTGAAAAGTAAAATTGGTAAGGCCGTCATCATCTGGTAATCAAAGTAAGTGCACCTCTGAGTTGGCCTAAAGTTGCTTATTACTTATGTTTGCAGAAGTTATTCAAACCTAGAGGCCACATTCAGTTTCCCTAAAAATAATGCCTCATTTCCCACCAGAATCATAGCGTGAGGAGAAGAAGGGGTCACAGGCTATAGGTTATAACCTAGAAGCAAGTGTGACCCCGACGGAATACAGAATCTGTAATTTAATTTGGTGCACGGGAAAAGCCAGATGCTTTATCAAGAAACAACGTGTATGTGCTGAGGAGGAGTTTGAGTGCAACAAAGGCAATTTTTTTTTCTGCTGGCAAAGAAAACAATGGATTAGAAGGGGTGCTACTGAATCACATGTAAAATACATTTTTTTCTGTTCTGTTCTGTTTTGTTTTTAGAGAGAGGGAAAGGAAATGGGAGAGAGACAGAAACATCGATGTGAGAGAGAAATATCCATCAGCTGCCTCCTGCATGTGCCCCGACAGGGGATCGAACCTGCAACCTAGGTATGTACATGCTCCAACCAAGCGAGTCACACCAGCCAGGGCTGTGTAAAGTACATTTGGCAGTCAAGGTCACCAACCTCTCTCCCCACTATTCCCTCCACAGCTTCACAGTTCCCAGCACCAGGCATGGTTGTTTCCAAGCCTCCAGTCTATTCTCTGGCTCCCCCCTCCCCCAACCCCCTGGCTAATTTTTCAAATTCTACTCACTTTGTAAGGTTTGGCTCTGGCCCTAATTATTCCACAAAATGTAGCCTTCTCTGGATTCCTGCTGCACTTCAAGTCTATACCATGTATTTTATAGCACCTAAGCTATATTTCATTTTACATCGTTTACTATTGTTTAATGGCTTTCCTATCTTCCAATTAATTTACTAAAGAAAATCTTTGCTGAGCCAGGTACCATGCCAAATGCTGGGCAGACAAAGGCAAAGACAAACTCAGACCCTGTCCTCAGAGAGATGTGAAGAAAGGTAGGGTGGAGCTAGGAGATTATCTATTGGAGCATATGAAATTCCTAAAAAAACAAACAAACAAAGAGCAGGGACCACTATATAGAAAAGTCTTTCTAAAAGTAATATCTAAGTTGGAGACTAAAGGATGAGTTTGAGATGAGCAAGCAAAGAAGAGGGAAGAATAATCCGGGCACATCAGAGCCAGGGATACCTATGTAGTGGGGAGGGATCATACTGCAGAAGAATGTAGAGATAAGATTATGCAGGCTTTGCACAATATGCTGAGACACCTGAGACATGACTAGGGATTTCAAACAAGGGGTCAGACTCAGTCTGTGGTTTCAAGAGAACTCTCTGCGGCCTCGTGGAGAAGGGAGACAGGGCCCCCACTTAGGAGCCTTTTGCAGTGATCCAGGCCACCGGGGATACAGGCCAAGCCTGGACGAGGAAGGTCTTTGAGAGCCAGGATCAGTGTCCTCATTCCTTCAGGAGCACTCGACAGGGTTCATCACTCAATCAGTTTTTGCTGAATAAGGATCCAGTATGGACCAAAGCACCAAAAAAAACACAAAGAGAGGTTCAGCTACTTTTTTTTTTTTTTTTTTTTTAATCCTCACCTGAGGGCATTTTTCCACTTTTTGTTCAGGTAGAGTGGGAGGGAGAAGAACAGAGAGAGAGAGAAACATCGATGTGAAAGAAATCAGTCCGGGGACAAACTGCAACCGAGGTACGTGCCCTTAGCGGGAACCGAACCCGTGTCTCTCAGGACCGCAGGCCGACGCTCCAACCGCTGAGCCAAACCGGCCAGGGCGAGGTTCAGCTACCTTAAGTGCTACCTTTAGACTCTGTCAGAATACGAGAGATAAAGTTAAACCGTGGTGTTAGTTTCTTAATTATCATCCAAATATTCAACTGGAAACCAAATCTGAGCACAGCCCAGGACACTCAAGGACAGGAACCTGCAGTCAGACTAGAAAGAGGTCAAGCACCACCGTGTGGCTCAGTGCGGTAGTGCCAGCAGGGAGAACACTTGGTGTGGATTTTGAATCGGATGTTAAAGATGTTTATTACTCACTTTTAAGAGTATAAATTATAAAAGATCAACTTTAATCAGTTAAATTTATTGTGCATGTAAAAGGCATTATGGATTTATGGTATGAGACGAACTATTATGGCATAAATGTTTCCCTTCTCTACATCCAAAGTGTGAAAAGGGGGTTATCAAAATACTAAGGAGGTTCATGAGAACAAACATATAATGAGTTTAATTAAGCTGTTGAAGAAGCTCAAGTAATGAAAACGTAGAGTGATACCTGCTTCAAGACACACAGCAGAATTACCTGGGGAGCTCTTCCTAACTATCCGGGTGCTGTCTGTGCGCTCCCCAATTCCGATATATTTTTCTCAGAGGGACATGACTCCCTGCTTTGACAACGCCTGCCACAGGAAACTACTGGTAGAGATGGGGAGGTGGGGTACCCCTCAGGTGTGAGGGGGCATGAAAAATACTGACCTCTGTGGCAGTACTTGCTCAGCATGTAGTCCAATGATTGAGAAGGTTCAGAACAACTTCCCCAAAGACGTGACACTAATTCAGTTTCGAAGCTAAATAGGGTTAGGTAGTGTGGAAGGGAGAGAGACTCCAACTCATGCAACTCCCTGCTGAAATCGAACAACAGCTCTTACTGGCTTTCAGGATAAAGCTCACATTTTACAGATTTAGGGATTTTAATAAGAGGACTGGCATGTCCATGACTGTGTTTTAGAAATACTTCTTTACGGCAGTGCAGAAGAGGGGACTTGGTGACCAGGAATAAAGGCCGAGGGAGAAGATGGGACAGAAGCTGACTCTTAGCCACCAAAGCTAAAGCCATTGTTCACGAGTCTAGAAGGAGGTAAATGAGTGGAGTAGAACACAAATTTCTGCCAGTGTCATCAAAATAAAAGAAGATTTAATTTTCTAGTTTCTATCTATAAGCTCTCCTAAGGCTCTCATTTTAAAAAGCACTCCTCAGTAGCAATCGTAGAGATTTTTGTCCCCTTCGATCTAACTAAAATACTCTTCTGTAGAGAAACATAAAGTTTGCCAAACCACTTTGTTTATAAAATTATAGCTAACTAGAGCTTTATTAAGTTCAATGAAGACGCAGGGAAATTTTAATTGAGAAATAACAAAAATGAAGAGAAATAAGTACGAAGCACCTGGGCTGGCGGCGGTCAGAGGGGCTCCCAGTGGTAGCAAGATGTGGGGATGAGGGAGGAAGTGAGGAGAGCAGGCCGGGGCTCAAGGAGCCACAGGTGTCGGGCTAGTTCAGCACCTAATCACAGAAGTTCTCAGTGTCATGTCCTACCACTCACTAGCAAGCAAAGTCTTTTTTCCTTATACGGTGTGGTAGAGGATTATCAAAACTCTTCCCCTGCTGCATGAGACTCTGACTTGGTGTCAGTTGCTGAGTTATCAGCCAAGTGTTCATCTGTGATCCAAGTGGGAGCCCAGCCCAGGATGCTGGCCCGCAGAAACAACGCCGGTTGCCGTGTTACCGGTGTCACAAAGAGGACAGGCCACGCTGTACGTTTCAGGGTGAGTGATGGTGCCTCCCTAGCAGTGGTCTCTAACTGTCTTCTCCAGCTCCCAAGTTAACTCTTGCTGTTCCCCTAGGAATCTGATAAAGATAAAATGCCAACTGTGTTGCAAGGCAATGGTGCTCACAATGCAAATGACCCTTGCCTGGTAAAGTTCATTCGTACGGAAGGAACTGTAAACAACCTATAATTACCTGGTGAGGTATTCGTGCCTCCCTGCGTGTGAATGTGGACAGCCTGGCAGCTATGCCCCTGGAGTTGTTACAGGATAGGTTAACTGCCATGGGCATGAAGCTCAGAAGGCAGGATGACTCCCATTGCTGCCTGCTGTGGCCTGGTGTCCTCACTCTTGGGCTGCACTGCACTGACAGCTGCAAGGGCCACTGGGAAGGAAGGTGTGACCTTGGCCTCCTGTCTTGTGTAGCCTTCTAAGAGGATGCTGCCATGTTCGGTGCATGTAACTTGTCATTCTGAATATTTAATTAAGTTCAAGATGACCTTTGGTTGGCACTGCATATGGCGATGCTTTAAGATCAGAAATCAAATATTTGCTAGTTCTAAAGGTCAGAAAAACTTCTCATGTATAGAAATTTATACAAACTGATTGCCTACAGGATCTTTCTGAAAACAGAATCAGTTATTTCAGGGTGCTCTAAAATCTATTATTGGTTACATAAAATAAAAGTGAGTATATGCTAAATTGATCTACAAAGGCATACAAATACTTACATTTAAAATTCTTAAAATGAGTAATAAATGTAGTCTTACCATAATTAGGTAAAATATACATGTTCAGTGGTACCATCAGCAAAATTATGCATCCAAGAAAAATAAAAGGCACCTCATAGCCAAAGGATTGATACAAGAAGCCACCTAAAGGAGGCCCTAGCACTAATCCCAGTCCAGAAAAAATCTCAAGACTTCCCTAAAAATAAGGAAACAAAAAAAAATGAGTTAATATATATTTTTTGGAAAATTAACAAATAAAGATTTAATAAGCACTATCTGAAAAAATTTATCCACTTCACATTTTATACACACACACGCAAGTTCAAGATGAACCCAAAATTTAAACATATATATTGAAATCATAAAAGTTCTAAAAAAATAAAATATGGGATTTTTTCATTTTTTTAGTCCTTATAGCAGGGAAGGTTTTCTAATTATGATACAAAAACTCAGAAAACACAAAAGAAAAGATTGATAAATCTGATCGATCAAAACAGGAAAAACTAGGCATGGCAAAACATGTTAAAAGACAAAGAATAGAGAAAAAATATTGACAAAAAAGGACTAATTTCCCAAATATTTCAAGGGAGTTACTACTAATCAATAAGAAAAACAAAAACAAAGAACAAAACTGAACCACCTAATAGGAAAATGGGCAAATGCTATACAGACACTGTTGACACATAAAATGAAATGCAAAGCTCTTCGGCACCCATAAAGAAGCTCACCTTCACTTTTCAAAGAAATGAACATTTAAAGCACAAGATACCAATGTTTACCCATCACCTGTCAAACTCTCTGTACTCCCAAAAATTTGAGGAAAGAAGCACCTTCGGACATTGCTGGTGAGTGAATACTAGAGGGCAGTTTGGCAAATCGATCATTACAAATGCACACACTCTCTGACCAAAAATACCACTTCTGGGAATCAATCTTACATATATAGTAAAAAAGATGTGATATTGTATGTGTGCAAGCTTATGTCTGTAGCACTATTTGCAACAGCAAAAGGTGTGAACAATGTAAATATTCATCAGTTTGAATAAACCAGGTTACAGCCACACATACAGTGAAGTACTACACAGTCATTCACAAGAAGCAAAGAGTGAGGAACTTTTCATCTATAGACAGTAAGATATGGAAACTATAGTTTGCTACGGCAGAACTCTTACAGAAATTGCATCATTTTAAATCAATCTAGTTTAGGGACTTTAAACACAGACCCGTGGCTTGCAATCTAGTATCCTCAGGCCCCACAGAAGACACAAAAGTAGTCCATTAATAACTTCCAGTGTTCCAAAAAGAATACATTATTCTACATTTTATCCCAATAATATTATCCAGATTAACTACCATGTTAGGTAGCTATCTTTTGGCTGCAGTTTTATATAGACACTTAGTATGCCAGTCCTGGTTTCCCTACTGATCTGAAAAGCCAAAGGACTGTTGCATCATAGGAATTTCTTGGGCAGCACTTTCCAAAGTGTTCTACAAAACACCAGTTCTTTAAGAGTAAAAAAGTGATTCCAGCCCTGGCTAGTTTGGCTCAGTGGTTACAGCATCGGCCTGTGGACCAAAGAGTAGCAGGTTCGATTCTGGTCAAGGGCATGTACCTTGGTTGTGGTTCAATCCCCAGCCCTGGGTAGGGTCACTGCAGGATGACACCAGTCGATGTGTCTCTCGCATCGATGTTTCTCTCTCTCTCTCTCTCTCCCTTCCTCCCTCCCTCCTGCCCACTCTATCTAAAAATCAGTGGAAAAAGTATCCTTGGGTGAGGATTTTAAAATAATAACAATAATAATAATAGTGAGACATCCCAAAATAAGAAAAAAAACCCTGGATCCATAGTCAAATTGAGTTGTGGAACATTAAATTATCTCTGCTATAGAATTTCTCAGATCTTAACACACTAGCGTGAACTGGATAGCTTACATATGTTCCAAATGTGCTGAGCCACTAAACCTTGTTTTACAGAGCACGTCAACAAATTGGTCTCCTGAACCCTTTCTGAGAAGTGCATTCCTGGGAAATGTGAACAGTGAACCTGCCACAGGGGCCACCACTGCCTGCCAGACCGCTATATAGAATGAGCCTACCTTAAAATGAGCCTATCCAGTTATACATAAAATAGAGAGTGGGAGGAACTATCAACACAGGAAATAGTTTATTTAATGGTCAAAACTTTTTAATTATCAACATGGGTAAATAAGGGAGGCCTTGAAACTAAGCTGATTAGACCGAAAGTCTAGAGGACAATTATAGGCTCTGAGGTCCTTCAGAGACGCATGGGTCCGAGGAGGGAGCTATGGGAAATCCTGCCTGGCGTCAGAGAGGCAGCAGCGGAGAGCTGGGAGTAGGAATCTGGTGTGTCACTAATACCAGATGTCTAAGCACCTGGGCAATATTTGGGATATACATCAATATGAGGCTACCAGGTCTGGGTTTTTATGGCAAAATAAGAGGGTACTCCTCAGACAGCACAGAGGTACTTATGAAAGGCAAGATGATGTCCAACATCTCTCCCCTGAATCTGGGAGGAAGGACTCTAGTATAAATTGAGTGGTTGGCCACTAGAGAGAACTCTGTTCTAAAGCAGAGGAATGCTTCAGGCATCTGAACCCCAGTCTCAGCCACAGAGAGACAGCAAAATATTGCTAGTGAGGTGCTTAAAAAAAGATGGCTAAGCCCTGGCCGGTTTGGCTCAGCGGTTAGAGCATCGGCCTGCGGTCCGGAGAGACCCGGGTTCGGTTCCCGCTAAGGGCGTGTACCTCGGTTGCAGTTTGTCCCCGGCCCTGGTTGGTCATGCGGGTGGCAGCCACTCGATGTGTCCCTTTCACGTCGATGTTTCTCTCTCTCTCTCTTCCTCTCCCTCCCACTCTATCTGTACAAAAAATGGAAAAGTGTCCTCGGGTGAGGATAAAAAAAAAAAAAAAAAAAAAAAAAAAAAAAGATGGCTAAAAGAATATTTGGCTCGGACCACCTTTAGCTGTTGAACTGTCCATTCAGGGGATTCAAAGACCTAAGTAAGATAATGGTACATTTACTGACAGCCTGCTGCTGGAAGTACAAACTAGGGTAAATGTAACAAACACAGAATGTGGGGGTGGGGGGCGGTCTAGTAGAATGGACCCCCGCTTTACCTTGGAAGATGAAACAAGTATTTTAGCCTACACTAAAAGCAAAATAGAAAAAACAAGTTATAAAGTACATACCAATACCGTAGCCACATTATTTGGGAAGGCTGTGACGAGGATGGAAAAGGACGCAGTGATTGCTGCAGCAAAGCTTAGCGCGTCTCCTATCCTCACCAGAAAACACATGGCGATAAATACCGGTCCTGCTGGGACTTGGTCCAATACACTGAAAGAGAATAAAACAAGCCTCAAATGCCAAACTGGTTTTTATTATTTTCCTCTTTAATTGTACTCACTGGAAAGAGCAATACCTCACCCAGAGTTATTAGAATAAATCTCTTTAGAATATGAATTTTTTAAAAAGTTGCTTTGTTATACTTTGAGTAGAAGAATTACTTTTTTTTTGGTAAAATTTGAAGCATAATAGGAGTTTAGTTGCCCTTTTCTGCTGACATAATCGATCCCCTAAATAATACTAAATAGGGCTTTTGAAATATATTGAATCACTCTGACAAGAACCAATATAGAAGACTTCTTCATTTCAGGACCCCCACAGCCCCCATTGTGGTGCTTAAACCTTCAAAAAAGGAGTAAATACAGAAAATAGAAGACCATCCTCACTAAGAAGAAAAATTTTAAAAACACATCATTTGATATGGTTTTCCATAGCTTATTTCATCATAGTCTTACATCTTACCAAACCCTATTCGTCTATGTTCCCCAAGAACTTGTGTAAGCTCCTTCATATTATTTGCCCGTGTGCCGCTGGTTTAAGCTTAAGAAGTTTCAAAGCTATTATGCCTCTGGACTTATTTTCCTTTTCTCCAAACAGCAATGGGGGCAGCCATTCTGAGCACGTGACTCAGGCCTGGCCAATCAGAGCGTTCCATGACCCCTCCATCCCGCTGCGGTGACCTTGATGCAGGGATGGGTCCTCAACAAGGATCAGGCCAGTGGAAGGCCGTTCTGCAGCTCTACTAGAAGCTATTGGGAAGGGGGCTGCTGGGGGCCATCTTGACATCATGAGGGCAGAGTTTATCCAGGAACAAAGCACAAGAAGAAGAAAGCAAAACCAGGAACTTAAAAGAGATGTTTGATAAAATTATTTTAACATATGTATCCTGATTTTCTTCAGCTGATTCTCTAGGTAAGAAATTCAATCTCTTGCAGGAGCCAAAAAGTGTCCATGACTCAGAAAAGTGAGCTCAGGGTCTGTCACTCACAGTCACGGGAGTCCTAATGAATAGATTCAATAGGCAGTTTATGGGTGATCCCCTAGGGTACCCTTTTCTCAAGCTCAATGGCATTCAGCCTGTTTTCTCCATCACCCAGCTCCCCTCACCATTAGTCAGTACCAGACACTCAACAATCAGTATACTGACTAATGTAAAGGGCCCTTTAACATTTAAACTGAAATCTGTTAAAGCTCCCAAACATATCAAAACATGACTTACCCAAAGAGAATTGTAACTCCTCCTGAGACAAACATTCCTGCTACAAACATAAATTTTGCTCCAATTTGTACAAGCTATAATAAATGTCAAAGAAGAGTGGTGAATTGATTGCTACAAGTCTATATTGACACAAACAAATCCACTGTATCAGGAAATATACCATTTGGGAAATATATGAACAGTTACCATAATTGTTAAACAGAATTTTATATGTTTCTTAAAGCATACATTTCTTAAAACATGAAAGAAGTTAAAAATCAATCAGCTCTAAGAATGAAATTGTCAACAGGGCACAACTCATAAAGTATAATGGTGGTTGTATCTGTATCAATGGAAATTCTAGACTGACAAATTAAAATAACTCATTATATAATTTTTTTTTTTTATCCTCACCCGAGGACATTTTTTTGATATTTTGTTCAGATAGAGTGGGAGGGAGAGAGAGAGAGAGAGAGAGAGAGAGAGAGAGAGAGAGAGAGAGAAACATAGATGTGAAAGGGACACATCGAGTGGTCGCCACCCACACGACCCAACCAGGGCCAGGGACAAACTGCAACCGAGGTACGTGCCCTTAGCGGGAACCGAACCCAGGTCTCTCCAGACCGCAGGCCGATGCTCCAACCGCTGAGCCAAACTAGCCAGGGCTCATTATATAATTTTTAAAATTAAAATGTACAAGTGAACTTGAATACTTACATATTTTCCAAATAACAAAGAGGCCAAGAGTTCAAACAAAGCATAACATCCAAAGATCATACCAATAACTGTATTGCTGGCTCCTTTCTTTTCAGCCTTTAAAGACATTGAAAAAAGGAAACAAGTTTAAGAGTCCACTTAGCATCAATGTAAAAAATGGATCCATTAGATCAGAGCATCATCTTCTTGTAACCTATATTTGTGCAGCAATTTCAAAAATTATTACTATAAAATAAACAGGATGGGGAAGTAAGGGAAACTATAATGAATCCTTGTCTTTGACGTGAAAATAATTCACTCACCATGCAATTAAAGAATTATTAGCTTTAAAGATCTGGAAACAGCCCAAATGTCCATCAGTAGACGAATGGATAAAAAAGCTTTGGTACATATACACAATGGAGTACTATGCAGCTGTAAGAAAGAAAGATCTCTTATCCTTTGAGATGACATGGAGGGACCTGGAAAGTGTCATCCTAAGCAAAACAAGCCAAAGAGAGAAAGACAAGTATCATATGATCTCACTTATTTGTGGAATATAATGAACATAACAGTGTGAGGAATGGGATAGTCCCAGAGATGTGGAAGTGGGGTACAGACTGACAATCCCCAGAAGAGGGAGTGGTGGGGGAGAGATAAACCACAGAACTCATATGCATGTATGCATGAACAATGGACATGGACAACAAAGCTGGGGACAGGGCGGGACGGAGGGGGACAGGGGAATCAGTGGGGGGAAAAGGAGAAACATCTGTAACAAAAATTAATTAATTAATTAATTAAAAATAAATAAATAAATAAAAAAGAATTTTTAGCTTTATAATCTTGAGAAAGAAGAACAGAGTTGGAGGCATCACATGTCCTGATTTCAAAAGTAAATTTTAAAATGACAGTAATTAGGAAGATGGCGGCGGGCAGGACTGGAGGGAGGGTGAGTGTGTGAGAGACTGTGAGTGAATGTGAAGGTGGACGACCAAACCCGGGCAGTGCAGAGACTCAGAGCAGAGGTCCCTGTGCTGTGGACGGAGCACCGGCTACCGCGGTGAGCGGCCCTTCAGGGCGCTTCTCCCTGCACCGCGGGGAGGTCCCACCATTTAGGAAGATCCCGGGTCTTCCCTGGGAGGAGGCAGTGGGAGCGGCTGGGGCCCAGCAACCTGAGCCCAACAGCGCACCTGGCACCTTCGGACCAGTGGACCCTCTGTGTCAACACAGACCGGTGCACAGTAGTGGAGCTCCCAAGGTGCCTGTCACGGAAGCCACGGACAGCCCGGAGCCCAGCACCATCCCCCACAGTAGCAGCCAGATCAGAGTCCAGATATGCCCCCAGCAACAGAGGCTGGGGAGCAGACATCCATGCCCAGGCAACAGAAGCACAGACCAGCTGCTGAGACCCATCCCCAAAAACTACAGCCAAAGCTGAGCAGGAGTTGAGCCCCACGGGGCAGCAGCACTCCCCAGCCACCAGCAGCGGGACCTGGGGCTCCACAGAGGTCTGTGCAGTCCAGCAGCTCACAAGAGCAGTGGGAAGCCGGAGCCAGAGAGGGATTGGTGCGATCCAGCTGCCTGCCCTCGGGACCTGCAGGGTGTGTGGGGGCACCAGAGAGGTCTTGACCCAGCAGGGGCTGTGCGACCTAGTTACCTGCGGGACTTGTGGGGTGCTGAAGCACCAGAGAGGCCTATGTGACCCTGCAGCCCATAACATAGGCAGAGAGCTGGGTCCACAAAGGGACTGTGTGATCCAGTTACCCGCAGGACCTGCAGGGTGCGGGGGCACCAGAGAGGCCTGTGCAACCCAGCTGCACACAAGATAGGTGTAGAGGATATGAAAATGGAGGCGGAGTGAATAGAAGCTACACAGAAGATCTCCCAGGACCAAACGGGAATTACAACTAAAATAAAGACAAATCCCCAGAAAAGGAGCAGGACAGGACCATATAACCAGGGACATTGGTAGGATCTGCGGAGGTGTGAGAGGGTGGCGGGCTGGGAGCCCACAGACAGCAACAGTCTTAGCTGTGAGCAGTGCCCTTGGGGAATAAAGACCAAGCCCGTTACACAGCCCAGAGAGCCAGGACAGAGCGCTAAAATAGCCACAGCCACTCACCGAGGGCTACAGCAGAGGGAGGGCAGACTGGGCTGGAACTCTGTGGGGACACCCGGGATTTGGAGGGCACTCAGAGTTTTTGCTGAGTTGCTGCCACAAAGGACAGTGGCCAGTGTGCTCCTTCCCAGAGCTGTCGGGAAAAGCAGCCCCCCTCCGCCCCAGAGATTCAGCCTTTCCCAGGTGAGGCAAAGAAATGCAAACTGAGGCTCATTAATGACCAGCTTCTATCCTACCCTCTGGAAATCCTCTTATGCAGGGCTACATTCCAAGGCACCGAGTAACTGAGACTACTAGCCTCCAGGAAAAAGCTAGAGGATAACTGAACCTTTCCTGGGCTTGCAAATCTACCCAGGAAAGTAATACTTGACAGTGGTGTTTAATGTGGGCCTGCCTAGGCCCATCCAAACCCAGTAGAAGGAGCCACAAACAGCAGAACACCAATACCCACAGGGAAAATTTGGTAGACTCCAAAACCTGCTGAGATAGCCAAAATGGTGAAACAAAGAAACAAATCCCAAATAAAAGAACAAGAGAACTCTATCAAAGACGAGATAAATGAAATGCAGTTAAGCAAATTATCAGAGGTAGAGTTCAGAGCCATGAACTTGAGGAAGCTCAACAGCATGAATAAGGATATCAGTACCATGAGTAAAGATATAGAAACATTGAAAACCAATCAAGTGGAAATGAAGAATGACATAGCAGAAATAAAGAATACATTGGAAGGACTAACCAGCAGAGTAGAGGAAGCTGAGGACCGGATCAGTGAATTAGAAGACAGGGTAGAAAAAATCAACCAATCAGAAAACCAAAAGGAAAAAACAATTAAAAAACAGGAAGACAGCTTAAGAGAACTGTGGGACAACTGAAAAGGTAATAATATTTGCATCATAGGAGTCCCTGATGAGTAAGAAAATGGGCAAGGGTTAGAGAATATATTTGAAGAAATAGTGACAGAAAACTTTCTAACTTGGTGAAGGAAGAAGGCATTCAAGTTAAAGAAGCACAGAGAGCCCCAAGTAAGAAGAACCTAAACAGGCCCACACCAAGACACATAGTAATTAAAATGCCAAAAATTAAAGACAAAGAGAGACTCCTAAAGGCAGCAAGAGATAAGCAACAGGTTACCTACAAAGGAAACCCCATAAGGCTCTCAGCTGACTTCTCAACAGAAACACTACAGGCCAGAAGGGAGTGGCATGAAGTAATCAAGGTCATGAAAAACAAGGATCTGAATCCAAGACTACTCTATCCAGCAAGGCTATCATTCAAAATAGAAGATCAAATAAAGAGCTTCCCAGACAAAAAAAAAAAAGGCTAAGGGAATATATTAACACCAAACCAGCACTGCAAGATATGTTAAAAGGACTGCTGTAATTAGTAGAAGAAATAGGAAGAAAAACAGAACCACACTAAACAAAAATGGCAATAAATAAGTACATATCAATTATCACCTTAAATGTGAATGGTTTGAATGCTCCAATAAAAAGACACAGAGTAGCTGATTGGATAAGAAAGCATGACTCACATATATGTTGTTTACAAGCGACCCACCTCACAACAAGACTCACATAGGTTGAAAGTGAAGGGATGGAAAAAATCTTTCAAGCAAACGGAAAGGAAAAAAAAGCTGGGGTAGCAATACTCATATCTGATAAAGTAGATTTCAAAATGAAGACCATAACTAGAGACAAAGAAGGCCACTACGTAATATTGAAAGGATCTACCCAACAGGAAGATATAACCTTGGTAAACATATATTCACCCAATATAGGAGCACCAACATATATTAAAATGACAGTAATTAAAACAGCATGGCGCTGGCATAAAGACAGACAGATAGATCAATGAAGCAAAACAGAGAGCCCAGAAATAAACCCACACACATATGGTTAATTGATCTTCCACAAGAGTGCCAAGGACACACGATGGGGAAAAGACAGTCTCTTCAAGAAGTGGTGATAGAAAATTGGATATCCATATAAAAAAGAATTAAATTGGACCCCTATCTTAAACCATTCACAAAATAAACACAAAACAAATTAACAACTTAAACATAAGACCAGAAACCGTTAAACTCCTTGAAGAAACCATAGGGAAGTTCCTTCCTGAAATTGGTCTTGGCAATGATTTTTTTGGATTTGACATAAATGCACAGGCAACAAAACCAAAAGTAGACAAGTGAGACTACATCAAACTAAAAATCTTTTTCCACAGCAAAGAAAACAACCTACAGAATAGGAAAGAGTATTTACAAATCATCTATTAAATAAGAGATTAATATCCAAAATGTAAGAATCTCCTACAACTCAATAGCAAAAAAAGAACCTGATTTAAAAATGGGCAAAGGACTTCAATAAACATTTACCCAAAGAAGATATACTAATGGTCACCACATATATGAAAAGGTACTCAAGGTCACTAGTAATCAGGAAAATGCCTATCAAAATCACAATAAGATATAATCTCATACCTGTTAGGATGATTGTTACTGAAAAAACAAAAGATACGTGTTGGTGAGAATGTGAAGGAATTGGGAAACTTATACACTGTTGGTGGGAATGTAGAAAAGTGCAACTATTATGGATCACAGAAGGAGCCTTAGAACATTAAAAATAGAACTACCATATAATTCATCAATCCATCTTCTGAGTATATAGCCAAAAGAATTGAAAGCAGAGTCTGAAAGAGATATTTATAGCATTTTTCACAATAACTAAGACATAGAAACAACCTAGAAGTCTATCAACAGATGAATGGATGATGAAAATGTGGTATTGCCCATGGTTCAGTGGCTGAGCATCTACCCATGCACTAAGAGGTTGCCGGTTCAATTCTCCATCAGGGCACATGCCCAGGTTATTGATGTTTCCATCTCTCCCTTCCTCTCTCTCAATAAAGAAAAAAATCAATAAAGAAAAAAAAAGTTGAAAATGTGGTATAGCCCTGGCCAGTTTGGCTCAGCGGTTAGAGTGTTGGCCCACAGACCAAA